CTCTTCAGGGCACAGCCCACTAATTCCAGCCCCTATTGGAATATATAGAAAACATCTAAGAACTGAGCTGTCAACAATCACCTACTTGAGTGTTCAACTATTGCAAACACACACTGACAGGGTAGTCCAACTTCCAAATTGTCCATTTAGTCCAAAAATTTAACTTTTTGACCAGCGGTACTAGCACGGCAAATCCAAACACTGGCAGCATGACCTCTGACCCCCATGAAGACCACCAAAAGACAAGAAGATGGGATTAGTTTTAGAACTCTACCAAGCAGCCAAAACAACACTAACGGCCAGTTTTTTTCAAGTTAGTAGAAATAGAAATAACTCCCCAGCTGGAAAATGCCAGCATTTATCCACACATACCAAGAAAAAGGCTGTTTTCAGTTGGTTTGGATGCGGTTATCAAAGGGGTCTCAGGCTGGGCCCTCTGGGCATGCGCCAATTGGTGACCTTTGCCCTTCACCTGACCCCTCTAATGGTAAAAGGATATCAAGTCTCGCGAGAGTCGGGCTGCCGAGAGGTCACGCAAGATGAAAACAAGATGGCGCCCCGGTTGTGTCGGGCCTGTTTTTTCGTCGAAAAAAAGCTGTTTGCCGCTTTATTTGCCGAGATAATGGTATCTACGGACTTGTAATGGGTTTTCTGACAAATGAACATGATTTTGCCTGGCATTGATATGACATTCTTACGGGAAAAAATAAGAAATTTTTGCCTCTAACAGCGCTATAGCCAATAATTTAGGCGCACCGCGGATTCTCTGCCGGTCGCGCAGTGCGCGACCAGAGTAAAAAGTTTAGTCGCATTTCGTAATTTTTGGTCGCATATGCGACCAAAACGGTCGCAGTCTGGAGGGTTGCCCTGGGACCCCTTGGTCTGAACAGGGTTTGAAAAGAGGTCAATAAAGTCTTACTACCAGGAGCCCTCCATGGGTAACTAGTTGTTTGGCCAGCCAGGGGAATTTGTCAGTCAGATGATCGTGCTCCGTGTTGGGTGCTGTCGGCAGCTCCATGAAGTACCTGATATTGTAGGTAAAATAGCACAACGACAACAATTGAACTCAAATGTTACAATATGGAGCTTAGATTAACCCACTGTCAAGTTGGCAAATCACATAAACGGTTACAACTCTGTTTTCAGATTTGCAAGCTTGTTCCTTAAGATTAGTCTTCCGCAGTTGAAACATACGAACTTTTAAGCAATCAGTAATCACAAAATTTCCAAACTCACCCACTATCGTCAAGTAGGAAGCAGTTAAACTCCTCTGATAAGCATTCAGGTATCTGTAATGATAAAAAAACTCTTTATTTACCTGTACAGGTAGCTCTGTTTTCTTTTTCTTATCACTTCATTTCCGATACCTACATTGATTCTAACAGATAGTTACAATAGATGACTCAGTCAACGAAATAAAAGATATATATCACAAACTGGCATACCTTAAGGAAAATGACTTTCTTACCTCTGAGTACAACAGGGAGTAGTACTGTCTCTCAATTATGTCAGCCGCGATGACTCCTACAATCTGAGTACTGTAAGGAAAACATTTGCAAAACATTAACAATAGTTGATACTTAAACCTGCACAATAAATAAAAAAGGAAGACCTCCACTTGATGAGAAATATAAATTTGTTTTGCAATTAACACCAAATGATGACGTGAAACGCAAATTAGTGGTATCACGATATATTTACTATGAATTCCTAAGGATTTAATTCTATACAGGTACAGCATGGAAATTAAGATCTTTTGAGTTAGGACAACATACCCACTGTTAGCGATAACTCTGCTGATGGTGACCATGTTGCCTCCGCCGAACGGACTGGGGACCGGACGGGAGAAGGTGTAGTCGTTAGGTCTGCTCAGGGCACGCTTGTACCTAAAGAAAATAATTATACAGTTTGTCATTGGGTTTAAACAGATCAGGATTAAACAAACTATTCAGGAAACTAGAACAAGGTGCAGTTGTTAGGTCTACTCAAGGCGCCTTGCACCTAAACAAAATGATGTTTTCATAGTCATCATACCTTACCTTACCTGGGCCCTTGGCCCCGTGTGGAGCATAGGCCGACGATTTTCCTCCATCCAGTTCGGTTCTGGGTTTAGCGAATCAGCCAATAATTTACAATCAATAAATGCAGAGTGGTAAGTATTAATTATATGTCTGCAATTGACTTACATGTGGGAACTATACTGAACAATAGATAACATATCTCACCATCCCTGTTCGGTCGAGTCATACCGCTTGTCCAAAGTGATCCCGGGGAAGATTCTGAACATTCCGTTTCTCGTGCCCACGTATCTGTCAAAAGATGATAAAAATCATACATCATTTCATTTCACTACTTTATAGATGGACATATATCCATTCAACTAAAGGGGAAATCCTTTGATTGATTAAAGATATGTTTTCAAAGTTATAGATTACCTCCATACTGAGTCTGAAGCATTCTGCCTCCAGTATTGCTCGATTGCAGCTGTCAGGACCACATCAGTTCGGACACCATCTACTAGTCCTGGATGTATTATGTGAATTATTTAAAAACTCAGTTTTGTTTTGGTCAATGGAAATCAGCATAAATGTATAATAGCCGCATCATATGCTGTAAATTTGCTAAAGCGGACAGCTTATTAGGTATCAACAATTGCCGCTTTTTGCCTTTAAAGCTATTTTTTGTAAGAATGGTTATTTACCTACGTTTATGAGAATGCTATTATCAGTTTACTTAGTCATTCCAAACTTAGCACTAACGCTTTTCTGGAGTGCACAGACCTAGCTTCAAGGTATGACTAGGTAGGCATGTAGGTGGGTATATGAATTGATTTACATTCTCATTACCTGGATTGTCCACTGAGCCAGTAACATCATTCAGAAATTGTTCGATGTTCGCAACGTCCACAGCTGTCCCCACGCTGCTCAGATAGCCGACTGGGTCAGTGTAGGCCTCTGGTGGGAACTAAAGGAGTAGTTTAGCTATAGGTTAGTTTAGGTAAGGCACTAAGTAGTAAGTACATGGCAGAGAGTTACCTGCTCGGGCTGGAACTACATTGTTACCTGGACCTTTGTGGCCTCGATGCTGATGAAGTTTGGCTCTTGACATGTAAACCTTCTTACCATGACAGTAGATCCGTCCTGAGTGGCAAAGTTGTCGTACAGTCTGCAGACGTCTGCGTTTGTGTTAAGGTCCAGCTGGTGAAATACTGACTCTGTACCGCTGTCAGGATTCACCTAGAGACAATGATAGAGATTTACCGAATGTAAGAATAACAAAGTAGCCTTATTATGTGATAATTGATTGTAATTCAACAAATTTATATATAGTTAGAATGTTCAGAGTGACATACATTTAACAGATTAATCACTTACCTGGTTTGGAACGTAAATGGTTCTATCCTCGTCGAACAGGCACAGAACCACGCTGTACTTGGAGTCGGGAATGGGTTCGTAGTAGAAGGTTGCCGCCTTTTCTAGAGTGGTGACGCCGTCTAACCCGGCGTATCCGCGAGTAACCGGAACTTTTACCTGAGGTGTTAGAAAGGTCGGTTTTCTCAGGTAAATGTTTCGTTGATTTAGCTGAGTTTCATAAGCGCAAAAGCTTTTTCCTCAAATACATGTTACACTAAATCATGCATGTTAGTGTTGATAAGTGTTACAAGTCGTTGATATTAAATGCAAAGTCAACAAAAGTCAAATAGCTTGCATTCGTTGATGAAGGTTAGACATCCAGGTAAACAATACTCATAATAGGAAATTCAAACTCTACTACTGGATCAGTTACAGAGATGATTCCCGGACGTTTCGAGTGACATCCATCACTCTTCTTCATTGTCACTAATAGTCACATTAGTGACGCTGAGGAAGAGTGGTGAATATCACTCGACACTTTCGGAAAAACATGTAGTAGTACTTAGACTTGAATTTCCTATGAGAAATAGCTTACATTGTTGACAAAGCACTCGCCACTCTCCCCATTCAGGATCTTGGTGACTTCAGCATCCGGCAGATCTCCTTTCATTTCATCCAGGTGGAGAAATGTTGGATCTGTCGGCCACTCCATGGGCTTGGGCAGGTCTCGGTGGAGAAGGACTCGACCGTCTATAAAATATGGCAGCACATCAAGAAACATCATTATAGCTATGTTACAGTGTGTCTATATGACCGTCAATGGAAAAGACCAAGCAACATCATCTTGCGTATTCCTCCCAAATGGCAACGTGTTGCAACTAACCTTGCTCATATCTACACTGTAATTGCATGAAGTGCATCCACAAAGCGGCCACTTATGGACCTTATGATGACCTCGAAACATATTTTGTAATTATCTAAACATGGCAACGCGATTCTAAATGTGTTTGTAAATTTTCTTATAGATTCTGGGTTGCCTGCAGTTCATTAAAAACCAGTCACTTATAATACATGGATTTAAGTCAATTTCAAGGCACTTGTTTCTATGTGGAAATGAATAAGCTAATAGACTCTTACCTTCTCGGTCCACCAGGAAAGCGTGGGAGTAAAAGCCGAGCTTGAAGTTTACAATCGCGTTAAACACGACGTCCATGGAGATGTCGACCGCCGTTACGCCGAAGAAGTCATTATTGTCCATGGTGCGGATAGCAGCGGTTATCGTTAGCCCTGAAAGGTTAGAATGCAACATACAAGAGTTTCGTGATCACGTAGGATCGCCGAGTTCTAATAGTGTTTACTTATAAAAGTTGTTATACCCTCTTATTCATTAATCTCCAAGCAGATCATACGGTGGTAAGGCAGTGTCAATTGGCCATTGTTTGATATGCTTGGAGATTAGTTATACATAATTTTTCAGAAATTCTCATTTGAATGACCAAAAGTTAGTGTAGCCTTTTCTGGATCTTAGCAGCATTCATTCGGTGGAATTTATTTTTCAAATTGCTTAAATGATCAAACTGTAGCATTTCATTTTCGATTAAATGGTTAATACATAGCTTTAGTGTCCCGGAAATGTGGATGGTTGTACTAACCAAGATGCTCGTCATTGGTGGGCACGGAAAACGTCGGTTCTGGCTCCGACTGGAAGAAGTCGTAGTAGCTTCCCATCATTGCCACAAGCCTGTCTCCCCGACCGTCACCTGAATTTTATCATCAAATACGTTTTCTTAACTAGAAAGGTAACATTTGCTAAGCAGATGCATAAGGTTTACCTTCGCATATGGTTTGCTTTTCTTACTCAAATACATTCATACAGGTAAGACAGTTACCATGGTGGAAGACATCAACAAATCAGGCCATTGGCCAGGTCAGAGGTTAGTGTTTGGAACTGAAGAAGAAGAAGAAACGTAGTAAAAACAATATGTTTTCCTTCGGTAAACATAATTACACAAATCGCTCCGTACAAGTACCTTAGTTTATTTCCGTAAAAGAGCGAATAATCCGAGTTGGTCCGTTTACTTTAGAGTGGATTAGGACAGAACTAGGATTATGTTAGGTGTAAGTGTAAGGCTATCCCATAGATATTCGGAGCTGTGCACAAATGTTATGAAGCGGAGTACTTCATGGATATCTCTGCATATTAATGGAGACTGACCTACGCTGTCAGTTCTGCCTGGTGGACCGACTCCCTGTGGATCTCTGTATGTGTCGTAACACGAGCCATACGTGTCCTGCCTGCAGTCTTCATTCTACATGTAATTGTATGCGAAAATACACCGATTGCACGTAGTCCAATACTGTATATGACAAGTGATCGTTTTTACTAATTACGACCACTGATTGAAATTCAAATTACATGTATATGATAGCCACTATATTCTCCCTTCCTCGTAACACACCAGCTATTATGAAATGTGATGTGTAATAGATGACAATTTCAATTATGATATGACGCTTTATGCACAAAAAAACCTACGTCATCTCCTGTACTAGCCATTTTGTTCAAAACACTTAAATCATGCTGCCAAAGTAATGTAATAAAGATAATCGGGGCAAATATAACAAAATACGTCCGGCGTAGCCACGACCACATCGTTTATAATACCAGCTTAACATATACATGTATTATCTTTTAAGCGATGGCGTTGATTGATAAAAAAGTACTTACTGTCCATGTCACCGCATTGGAGATCTGCCTGTTGTTTTGATCTGCGATGGTAGCAAGGAAGTCCAATGCCGGTATCCCCACTGTAACTGTAGATGTTGGAATCAGCCAACCTTTCGATTTCTTTGACCTCATCCGCCTTGACCTACACAAACCATTAGGCTCATGGCACCAGCCGCTGAGGTCAACTTGAATGTCGTCGCCCAGGCCGTAGGTGAAAATGTGAACACTCCGGTCCTGTATGGGGCACATAATAGGGACAAGAAGTGATGTATTGTTGCAGCATTGTTTCATCATGACTGGTAATGAATCTTTTTGTGAAAAAACAACATTCTCAATAATTTATTGGCTATTTTGTATTACCATCTGAATGCTTTGTTATTTTTGCGTGACTTGTCCTTAAGAGTTTAAAATAACTGGAAGGTTTCTTTTATGTTTCAAGATGTATACTTTTTCTTCTTACTTTGCTTGCCAGCAAAGAACCAAACTTTAGATTTGTTCTACATCAGCAAATAAGTTTGGATTTTAACTGTGTCTTCGTGTTAATTTGAATAAAAATTGTACGTAGGTACAGAAGCTACAAAGACCATCGCCGTTGGCCTCCTTCCGTCTATCTCTCACCATGCGATTCTGTCCTTCAGTGATCGTGTCCAAAACATCCTGCGGGTCTGTCGGCACTCCGTCTGTCAGGAAGATGATGACGTTGTGACAGTCCTCAAACTGTTCCTGTGGGAATTAAATAAGCGTTTATTATTAATAACAGTTAACTTACATGCATAGCAACAACAAAGAACAGGTCAAAAACATAACGCCTTTATGAAATATATAGAGCTTTTCTAAATTTAACTTATTTGGTATAAAAGGTAATTCTACTCACCGGTTTTTTACGTTTAGCTTCAACGAAGATGTCGAAGGCCTTGTCGAAGGCTTTGGCGTAGTACGTCAAAACTGAATGGGGTTTCAGGAAATAACGGAAATTACAATACTTTGCAGTTCAATGATAGGTACAGAATCCAGGCCCAGATTTTTTATACCAAAAGTTTGGGAAATGTCAAAAGTCTACTTCTGTAAAGGGATGCACATTGCCAATTGCCTTCATAACAAAAAAACAAGTATTGGCTGGAAGAACACTGCGTAACGCTAATAAATAGTGTGTGTCACCATTTTGTTGAGTTGATGGCTCAATAATAAATACAACAGATTAAAAGAATATAAAGAAGAGGTGCCCGGTAAAGCGTAATGCTTCTCCAAACTACCATTCGTCTAATACTTACAAATAGGACTGAGGCTGTCGATGAAGTCTCGCATGATTTGGATGTTTCCTTGATTCGCTTCTCCAAGACTGTCTCGAAGACAGCCTGCTGGTGTCTCGACATCATTACTGAAGGACACAACTCCTACCTGAAGCAGAACAACATGGATTGATTAATATTTTTGTAATTAAAGTAGAGAAAAATTCATTCACGGCATTAATTGAAAATTTAACCAGATATATTATATAAATGAAGTTTATAGAATTCTTCATAGTAAAACAACACCCATCAAAGTCTATAGAGAGTATATGCTGCCCTGTAATCTTTGATATAATAATGACGTTTATGCTCTTGCTTTGACAAAACAGCGAAAATGGACACTCAGGAATCGACACATCTACCATGCAATCCAGGTTTATCTTTTGTCATTTATTACCCTTCCTTTGATCTCTGCGTATCTTTGTGTTGAAATAAAGTTTAACATCATCGCACTATGACTTCAACCAACACAGATGAACTTCCAGATTAATCTACCAATCTACCAAACTAATATGCCTACGTCAAATGATGGCACAGGTTGCATATTTTGACTACATGATTTATGGTTTATGATGTTCTGTGCTTTAACAAATGCCTCTTTTTTTACAATTTAACACACATCATGTCTTTAATTCAAATTTCCAACTCACCCAGTCCCTCGCTGTTAGCGTGTCGAGGACCGTCAAAGCTGCTTGTTTGGCCAAGTTGATTCGGTTTGCATCATCCATGGACAGACTGACATCTATGACGATCACCACGTTCTTCTTCTTCGGTGACGCTGCGCTGACGTACCAGTTTCTAGCATTTTAGAGGAAAGGAGGAAAGGAAAGAATGTAAAATTACCGTGCCATGTGACAAACAGGTTTTCCTTAGAATTGATTATTTCTATACATGCCTGACGTTGTTAAACATACATGTATGTATGCGCACACAAACTTGTAATTCACGTCAACGATCACGTGTAAAAATATGTGTATAGATTTAGACTTTAAAGGATATAAACCTTTTGATATATTTTGTCTGATCCGTACCTATTCCATCATGACCTCGATGTAAAGCGAACAGTAGGCTGATTTGAACTTCTTATTAACAACACATGTTCAAACAAACGAACAAACAAACAAAATAACAATCACATTGAAATGGAACTCTTCCGTACCTAAATATGTGGGCGTTGCCATGGCAAGACCTGTCGTTCTTGGGGAACTGGTGATACTCGCCCTCTTTCGCGCCATAATACTGCCAGGTCACCCCGGACATCTCATGTATGTTGGACTTCATGGTGTCGTAGACGTTTGGTCGGATTGTGTTCCTCGCACCAGGAACTAAACATGGAGATATTACAAATTAAAATATGTTAATGCGTCTGAATTGTAGTTGTTCTTATTTTATATCGTTAATTACCTCCATGAAAAATGGAGGTATTGTTTTTGGCGCGTCTGTGTGTGTGTGTGTCTGTGTGTGTGTTCGTGTTTCCGCACATTTGTAGTCAGCATAACTTCCGAACGCCTTTATGGATTGTGATGATATTTGGTATGCTGGTAGGTCTTAGGAAGCCAAAGGTCAAATATGGGCCTCCTGGTGGCTGACCTTGCTACTGCAGCAGAACTTTTGTTTATTGTGACCTTACACCGACTGTCCCTTTAAAATAGCCTATCGCTAGGTGGGCAACCCTGCCTCTATACAGTTTAATAAATCAAATTAAACTAGAGTCCCACGATTTCATACCTTCGCCAAATGATGTTAATCTTAATGACTGACAAAGTAAAGATTATTACTCCGTGAAGGAGGTCAGGACCTCCGGACGAAGTGTTGTGAAGAGCCGTTTTTTCGTGTTCGCATGGCGTACCTTTATCAAAAGTAGCGCAGCTGTCGTTGACGATCTGTTGCAGGAACCTCGGGTCGTACTCCAGCTGGCCGAGGTTGTCGCAGCAGGTAGTAACAGGGTTGCCACCCATCTGTCCCTGTGCATGAGAGGCTTCTATCTCAGCCTTGTTCCTGTGCAGGATCTCCCGGCACTTCTTCAGACGGTCTCCTACTGCCTGCGTCAGCAGATGCAGCTCGTTCTGACCATCGATCTGTAACATCAGAAGTATGTAGATAACTCATCATAGTAATAAGGTCTTATTAATAAAAAACATTTATATGGCAACTTTTGCCAGCTATTGATCATAGAATCAGACGACGTAATAAGGTATTGCTGTCTAGTCGTCTAAGCTAAGCAATTCACCTGTACTTTAGTCAATAGGTGATTCTTACTATAAACTGTTTATGGGCAGAGCGTTCCTCTGCTGTTCAGGCTAGCTGCACAGTCATGTCTCCGTCTGCGTTCTTATCTAGACCAAATATTGTGCCGTACCAACCAACTAAACTTTGTCTCTCGAACCGAGATATGTAAATACTCAGACTTCTGCCAACTGATAGGGAGATGAAGTATAATTCGGACAGATGTAGCTATTTTTTTTCTGCTAAACTTTGTAGTGATGTGACGCGTAAAGTGGTAGCAATTCTAGTAGGTCTGTGGGAGAAGGGACATACAGCAGATAGTTCCCCTGCTCAAGTTGTTCTTAAAGAGACGTCTATACTAGCTATGAAATATTTCATCCCTTTGTGCTATTGCCCCCACGATGAAATATCTTCATAGCATTAAGAAGTATCTAAATTGCACAAGCAAATTTGAATATTTACAGAGAAAAACATGTACCTTTTATTTGTAATAAAATGTTGTGTGACGCTGTTAAAATAAGCAATGAAACTGATTGCAGCACCACACTGTTCGTAAGCCTTGTAACTGTTTTGATGTGTATTGATGATTAAGAAAATTATGTATCTCATATTTAGCGCCTTGGTCAGAAAAACTAAAAAAAACTATAATATGATAGCGTTTGAGCATCATTTTTTGTCATACCGATGACTTTCGTGCGTGTTGTTTTTTTTTAAACGTGACAACATTCATCATCAAAAAGTCCAGTGAAATGTCATCTTTTTCAAACTATTAACTATTGTAATGATGACCTTTTTGTTTTAAATCCTAAATCTTAATGTTTCTCTACATTCCCACAGATGCCTGTACCTGTACCGTTCTCAACCACGTATTTGCCTTTGTCTGTCATGTGATGGAATACTGTGGTCGGAAACTACAAATCCTAAGTGGGCGCTACCAATCTTCCCTGCAGGCAATGTGGGCTTATGATACCGACTTACCTGAGTCTGTGTGAAGCTGAGTTTGTCGTCATATTCCTGGACCAGTTGCAGCGCGCCGGTTTGGGACTCGGCGAAAGTCGTCATCTTGCGGCTGACCCTGGGGATCCAGTCGGTGGTGATGGGAGCGGTGGACAGGTCCCCGAGGGAGGGACTCCATAGCGCCGCTAGGAACACTAACAGGACCGCTTTGGGCGGCATCACAGGCCCTTTTTTCACAGTTAGTAGCACGGATAGGTTTACTCTTGTGATATGCCTCCGATATTGCTTGGTAACCTAAACGAAAAACCTCAACACGACACAACACGGTGTCAATCAATATTCAAATGGCGTTTCCCCATAACTTGATCAGACTGATATGAATTTAATTTAGTTTAGTAGCTAGCTGCGTGGTCAAGAACGTTGCTAAGTGTGTAAGGCCTGTTTTTAGAATTTCACCATTAAGTTCAACAGTCCTTTATCATTGTTTTGGTCTTGGCTACATTGGTTGTCATACACCGGCCTCTTACACCCAAGGGTTGTATATTCAAACCATGGGAACGTTAAGATTTGTTTTCACTCTAAGCTTTAAATGATTGAGGTGTTATTTAGCTCGCGTCAATCACATCAAGCTAAACTGGGTGCATGCCATAACAATTTATTTGATCGTTCAACCAATTCAAACAACAAGGCGGCTTTATAACAAACATATGTCGTATGAAAGTCCGATTTGCCGCGGGGTTTCTTTTACTCGCTAGCTAGATATTTTCAGGGAGGTCCGGTGGGTACATTTGTACAATTTGAACAACTGACTGAACCTTCCGAGTTCCCACGTACCCGACACGACCCAGGTTTAGGCCTAAATGGCTTTAAAAACTCCACGAATGTCCTTATAAAATTTTACCCAGAGCTGAACATAAGTCCTTGGTAATAAAATAATTGGAAAAAAACGGTGATCGTACACCAAATTCAAAGTTATCGTATCATGGATGGTAACAGAACTCGCGTGTCTGAGTAAGTAAAACAGTGTAAATTTGCCAATCGCGTAGATAACAAATTTGCGTCTTTCCTGTCACCAGTGAGACATGAAATCTTGTTTAGGACATGCAATGCACCCTAACATGTATTCCACAATACTTTGTTACTGAGGCAAGAAGGAGTCAGTACTGGATTTTTACCACCAGTATCGGCCTGTTGCGGACCAGAGATAAGGGCCAGTCTTGACAAAACAAAATCGATCTCCATTCAATACGGAGCATGAAAAAAAATACATCAGACTCTCTGCAGTGTAGCTTTATTGTAACTAAACGCACCTACCGAAGTATATGACTACATACGAATGAACCATTAAACAAACATTTTAAGCGTATTCTAAGACAATCCAACTTCAAATGAATGGCATGTAAGCATCACCAAGTAAATCTACGGTCAATCCACAGGAAGCAAACAAAAGTCGTTTTCAGTGCGTTACACCAGACATGGTGACATCGTCTCTCCATAAACAAGGGCGCCAATACCACACCACTAAATATATGTTGAAATGTATTCCGATGTGCAATGTATGTATTTCAGTTAAGATGAAAGTTTTCGTCTGCATTACAAGTTACATTTTCCGAGATATTCCAATTTTAGCCTAAATGTTACGAGGGGTGTTCAAAAAGTTCTCGGCCTCACCTAGAAAACGTCATGGCAGTAAATTTTTTCTTACACTATTTTTTAATATAGTCTTCTTTAACTGCAATACATTTGGTCCAGTGATGTTCCAGCTTTATTTTCCCCTTGTGGAAGAAAGTTGAATCTGGAGCCCCCAGATAAGCCTATACCGCATAGATGACGTCATCATTACCATCAAAACGTCGACCACGTAAGTGGAACTTGAGTTTAGGAAACAGGTAGAAGTCCGAGGGTGCTAGGTCAGGTGAATTGGAAGGGTGGGGTTAGACTGCAAACCCAAATTCGTTTGCTGCTGTCACTGATCCCTGTGCTGTGTGAACAGGTGCATTGTCAGCACGCTGGCTCGGAGCTTTCCTCTCCTTTTCTCTTTGATCGTTGCCCTCAAATGTCGTAATTCTGTTGCATAGTACTCCCCATTGATGCTTTAACCCGTTCACATGTAGTCAACCATGATTACTTCCTTACTGTCCCAGAAAACAGAGGCAAAAACCCTGTCAACGGACGAAACTCGCTAAAACTTCTTGGGGGGCCGGAAAAAATTATTCATCCATTGTTTGCTCTGTTGTTTTGATTCGGGGTGAAAGTGGTGAACCCAGCTCAACTTGGGTGAAAAATGTTTTGAGGAAATTGCATGGATTGGACTGAATTCGTTCCTTGAAATGTCAAGCCTGTTTAACTGCTGATGTTCAGAAAACATTCGAGGCACCCACCATGCAGACAGTTTTTTCATCCCCAGGATGTTCGACAAAACATTGTGAACTGAGTCATAACACAGGCCAAAGAACCTGCTACATGTTGGCCAGTCTCACATCTGTCATTTACTACCATGTGATGGATGGCCTCAACTGGATTGTCCGTGGTGCTGATTTGTGGCATCCTGACATATGTTCATCTTTTGTGCTCTCCCTGCCGCGCTTGTAGCTAGTAACCCCATTCTTTATATTTAAAATAGAAAGGGAGTCATCACCAAGTGTCTTGACCATGTCTTCATGGATGTCCTTAGGAGACATCCTTTTTTATCGATACACTTGATCAGAGCAGACGCTTCTTTTGCGGCCATTTTGTGATTTGCCCTCACCCACCCCATTTTGACGGGGCGTCACGTGCTCATTAATGAATACAAAAATTTGAATTTTTGTGTGCAGTGATGTAAGACGTCATAGTATACAGCTATACCAAAGAATAGGAGTTTGACCTTTATTTTCTAGGTGAGGCCGAGAACTTTTTGAACACCCCTCGTACTTTACTCTTTGTTGCATTTCTACACGTTCTTCATATTAACGGTAACACCCTTAGTTACTTCAAGGACTTCACTCGCCGTCAAGGTTGACAAGATGCTGATATCCCGGATGTACCCGCTTGAAGCGCCTCACTCTGACGGCCACCAGAACTGCAGCCAGGGTTATCACCATAGCAGATCCTCCAGCTATGAGGGCCGTCCTCTTCTCCACGCCTCCTAAAACAGAAAACAATAATTTATCCACGTGCTATTTTCTTGATTTTTAAAAGAAATCTCGGAACGGTTAGTCAACGGTAACTGTATTCTATATTGGGCCCTTTTTGGTAAAAAAAATCAGGAAAATCAACATATTTACCATTGGGCAATTTTGTTCACTTCGCGATCGAGCTAGCTTTCAGCACCAAGGACAAAGCTGATTATCAACTTTTCCAAAGTTTTCTTATGCTGAGAATGGCTGCTGTGATACCATATAAATTTTAATATGGTGTGAGATATTATCTAATGGTTAGGTACTGTACTGGTGCTTCTAATGTGCTTATTTTTTTCGTATATATTGCTGATAACATAGCTAAATATATTTAGAGGGCTACGAAAGGGCTACACTAGGGTCATATCCGTAGTAAACAAAGAATAAACTTACCGGGTTGGAAGTCTTCATCAATGATGATGGGGCCGCGGGAGATCACAAAGCGGCTCTTCATGTCATCCTGCTTCTCAAGCGCCCTCTTGTGATGGCGAATAGTCCTGCAGCCCTGAGAAAGTTTTATAGTTAAACCGTTAACATCTGACTGTAAACCATCCCAGTCGAAGGCATTTTTGTACCAACCAAAGTCGTATTTTTCGACAGAAGAAATCTTAGTTTTGCGACAAATGCTAAATGACTATTTCATGTCTTATGTAAAATGTTTTGTGGCACCTGCGCACAACGGGATCCGGCGTCAGCTGCATCGCAAACCTCCACCTCGCACCGGATGTTGATAGTCGTCACTTCCTGTACGAAGCGGAAGGCCTCCAGGCTGAACCTCTGTGTTGCCGGGTCAGAGTTGGAGTAGAGTTGTAGGGTGTCGTCCGAGGCACAACTGCGGAAAAAATGTGTTGGGAACCGACGTAAAATTTGCTCCTGAGGCCTTTTTGCAGAAAAAAAAAGAAACATATCGTAAATGGCACGTGATTTTTTTATATGTGTGGCGTCAGTACTGTGTCAAAGTCGGTACCGCCCCCCCCGTCCTGGTTATAGGGAGGTTGGGTAGCCCTGATGGCTTCCAAAGCTTTGCACCATTTCAAGGCTGTGCTTTTCTAACGAGGCATTGCAATGAACACCCTTTATGAGTGGGTACTGTAGGGAAACCATACAGGGACTCACCTGTCCTGTATAAGTGTGTACTGTAGGGAGGTGTTGTGTCCGGATGTAGCCTGACACTGCAGAGCGATGATTGACAGCTGCCTACCGTGACCCTGCACCTGCAGCTGCAGGTACAGCCGCTCCCGCAGGTGCTTGTGCACCTGAATGGCAAAACAACAATGAAAATAGTCTGGGGTTAGAACATCTGTCTGATTTTTACATTTACTGCAGCTGCAGGTACAGCCTCTCCTGCCTGTGAACCTGCAATGTCAGGGGGCAAAACAACTAGAGAAATTAGAAAATCTGTCTGATATTCACATTACTGACATCAAAGTAGTTACATTTTAATCACATTTTTGTCATCATCTAATACTTGAAGCATTTCATATATCCCCAAATCAAGCTATACCATGTACGAAAGAAGTAATTACATAGTTATTACAAACACAGTCAAGTTAATCCCCAATTTATGCAAGGAATCGAACATGATAAAAACCGAATCACTACGTCAGTATACTAGAATAATACATACATTCAATGAAATAACTTGAACTTGTAAATAATAGTTATTATTATTAAAAGCCTGTTTACCGGGTACTCAGGTGCTGTGTAGGGAGCCAGGTAGGTCTGTGTGGGGAACATGTCCAGCCGGATGGACAGCTGACCGAACCCTTCATCCCAGAACTCCAGTCCGCCCGGGATGGGCAGGAACTGCGACAGCACGGCCTCCTCACGGTCGTACTTACAGCTGCGAACACAGGAACAAAGTTACTCTTCATGTAGAGGCTTAGGCTTATTACCTTCGCCAAGAAGGTTATGTTATGTTTTTGTTGGCGTTCGTTCGCGTTGGCTTCCTATCTCTCCCATTTCACCGTGTTTTGTCAATATTTTGATTGATTGCTTTGTTAATGTCATTGTTTTCGTTGGCGTTTCGTTCGTGTGTGTGTCTGCCAGCACAATAACACAAGAAGGCTAAATGGATTATCCTTAGATCCCCCCCCCCAGCTTGTTATGGTACTGCAGTTGAACTTCAGGTTTTTGATATCTCGTGATCAGGGTAGGCTATGATCACGGATTTTGGATGGTAGGTAGCTCTTGCGCAAGAAAGAAGTGACGTGCGTTTGGCCCCCTAGCGGCTTGTTAATGTCCTGCATGTACCACGCGTTTCCGTCTCAGTGGCCTAGATTCAGACCTACCCTCAACCAAATGCACTCTGAGATGGCTTCCTCACCCATTTTACGGTGCATTGTCAATATTTGGATTCATTGCTTTGTCAATATTTGGATTCATTTGCAAACACGCAATAAGACAACTAATCATAAACACCTGATAAAATAGCAATACACCTACATGGAGTGGATGACGACATCAGGATCTCGGGTGATGACGCCATCATGGGTGAACAGCAGGCTGACGTTGTTGTAGAAGATGACGTACTTCGTGTCAAAGGTCACCTACGCATCACATGGAATTCAGTCAGTAAGCTTCACTTAGTTTAATTGTAATTTTTATAAGACTTTGCACATTGTAGTTACTGTGTAAGTACAGCCATATGTAGATAATGAAAGTGCGTGCCCGTAGATTTTGTTTTCAAACTCCACAAAACCTGCAACAGCAGGCAGATGAGAATGTAACTATTTCTAGACTTTTCAAAAGCATTGGACTCAATAGTCCAGATCGTTACCCTTGTCCCGCACTGGTAGAGCCCGGTACGCAGGATGTAGTGTGTCCCGTTAAAGCTGGCCTTACAGCTTGGGTCCGGGTCCCAGTGCAGCCCGCTGGTCACCACGTGAGCGAGCCGGTCGGCCGGAAGGGCCAGCTCCATGTACTCGTTGGTGCAGGTGGGGGCTGTGTCGGTCGGAGGGGGACCTTCTGGTGCAGGCGTTGTAGCTGTGGGAATATGTGTTGTGGGATCAACGTATGTGTGTGTGTCATCCAAGTGCAGCAACAAAGAAAATCATGTCATGTCTTGTCATAAAGTCTGTCTACGGGGTTAAGGTTAGGGTAGCTCCGTGTCGTTTTTCAGGCCGTGGGCAATGGGTTGTTAATCCGCTATATATGTCTAGGGCACGCTTTTGAGAGGTAGCCTGGGTACAATTAGGAAGCGAGTGTGGGAGCCCCGGCATGAAAATTGGATGGTACCCAGGCTAGTTAAAAGGCGGAGCCCATCTCTCGTCTTCCATCGTCTTTTACCTCAGTCCCCAACCGAAGTCTGGTTTCCATTTTTATTGAATCTATGACCTCTTGGTCTTGTGTCGGGTACTAGTAACCCCTTGCAACTCGGCTATTAAACGCCACCATCTAGATACATGGAATTCTACAAGTACCTACCGGTTGCGCAATGCGATGTCATAGTGCAGACATAGAGGGTCCAGTCAAAGAGCGTTCCTGCCGGACAGGGCAGGTGTACAGCGAGTGGGTGCGTCCCCGTGCACTGGTAGTACATGGTACAGTCCTGCGGGTCTGGGTACATGCCGGCCGGTAGGATCGTGCAGTCTACGGGAGGATGGAACAAAACAAGACACCTCATCATGATATAGCAGACTACCTGACGTGTGATTCCAGGTACAGAGACTGGATTTCTATTTACCAAAATTCACATGCAATCATTCAAAAGCATTTTCTTCAAAGGTACTTCAAACGTTCTGTTCATTTGAAGCAAGGTGGTAATTGAGTACATCTATTCGAGAGATTATACCTGAAATTACTTATTGTGCATTATGATTATATATGGTCTTTCTGAGTACAAACAGGCAAGTATATACACATCAAAGTTTAGATCTTCCGACTAGTAATGTAAACGATACTTTTAACGGTACATGCCGATTCGCTTTAACGTATGTTCTTATTACTTTAATTTGTTTGCATTTATTTAGTAGGTAGGTTCAGCTGTAAACGACTGTACGCCGTGATTTCTTGTCTAAAAATGATTATTTTTATATACAATACGAAACCCACAAAGTAGAACCTACCGACAGGCTTGGTAGTTGTTGTCATTGACGGCGTAGTTGTTGTTGTTGTTGTTGTTGTAACAGTTGTAGTAGGCGGCAGGGTGGGGGCAGGAGTAGTGAGCAGGCAGGTCTCCGCACAGAGGGGGAAGTCCCACTCCTCACACCACTCACAGTGTGGCAGAGCCTTACAGGTGACGTTGTCGTTTCTGTGAAGCACGAAAGAGACAGAGACAGAGAGAGGTGATGATTATTGTCCTTGCCTCGTCTAAAATCAGAAGTTGTAGCTTTATATCATGCTTTGATCAACAGTTTTATATACTTGTATCTAAAAAGTACTGAAAAGATACAACCATATACAACATCAGTGTCATAACCAAGATCGATGAAAACCTGAACCAAATAAGTACTTACTGTGCGCTGCATTTCTCCTGACAATGTTCCAGCTCCGGTTCAGGTGAGTAAGGCGGCCCGGGGTTTCTAACGGTCAGGTCCTCTGGAGGGGCTACATGTAAAGGTAGTAAGATGTTATTATTTCTGGTTCGGAATTATTGTATTAGGAACTGTCTGTTTTGGTCTAAGGAGTTGGTGAGTATGCTTGTCTGACGGGGGTAGGTTGACAGTGCGTGGTGGAGGAAAGAATAACAAGAGGTTATAAGGTTGGTCTTTTGTCTTACTGCATACAAGCATGCAAGCATATAATCGGTATTGGGCAGAGTTGTTAAATATGTTGTCAGGTCTCACCTAGTATTACATTTGTTTTTATCAATAAGAAAGTCAGTTAGAAACTATTACGAAATTTGCAATAAGAAAGTTTTCATAAAGTTGTTATTGTTATTTTTAATGTACATGTACTAATGAGGACTTAATGTACTCACGAGGACAGGGGATGTCCGACAGAAGACGAAGGATTTCATTGGTACAGGACTCATAGTTCCAGTCACAAATACAGGGACACTGAAAAAGCAAACAATTCAACATGACTGTAAATGATACCCCAGACGGAGGTAATTTTACGATTTATAGATGGAGGTAATTGTGTACTAGTTGGTGCACTGAATAAGAAGAAATATGTTTTATACGTTACACACATTGTCCTGAAAGCAACATTTAAGATTTCAACTTGAAATAACCAATAATACAAGACTATGTCAATCCTCTTGATTAAATGCTCTTATCACAATGCTTTTGACATTTTAGAAATGCATAGATGTACGGATGCTAGTTTATACACGTATTTTACGGTACCAACATGTATGTGATTTGCTGGAATAAGAGTAGATCTAATAAGATTAGATTTACCTGACATTCTTGCAGTTGCTCAGTACTGCATGTCTGACAAAGATCATTACAGGAACAGTTCTGCCAGAGAATACAAATAAAAAGTTATTGTTCAACTCCAGGCAAAAAGACCTGGTAAACAGCGGACCATTTTAGACGACTGACATGTCGAAAAAAGTCGAAAAAAGTGAAGCTATAGTAATTTAGCAAATTATGAAGCAAACACATTTCTACATCATCATCATGTTCTTCAGAGAGGAATCGACCATGCAAAGGACACAAAAGGTAGGTACACATCTGGGGACAGGGAAAGTTTTGTAATGGTCATTGGTCATTATACGTTCAAACACGAATGTCATAGCAAGCACGCCAAGCAAGCGAAGATGTACAACCAGACTGTTGTCCCAAACCTGGTTGCCGCCGACTACGATAGGCCGGTCGTTAGGCCGGTCGTCACAGTTGTAGGTTTGTCGGTTGTGCAGCGTCAGAATGAACGTGTTGGTGGCGTTGATGGGATGCAGGGCGAACTGGTAACACGGCGGGCCGGTGGTGACCTCCAGGCCGATGAACCCGGTTGTGTCGTAAAACATTTGTGAATTCTGGGTGGCATAGTTGTTGCACCATTCTCTCTGAAAGAGGAAGACTGATTTGTATACAGCAATGCCAGTGGACATTAATTCATCATGGTAAGTCTACCTCTTAATTATATACATGTACCAATAATTTGATCTCTTCATGATGGGCATCCATGATTACCATGATGATGATGACCTTTGATACACTTTTTGAAACGTGTTTTATATGTCACTAATAGCACACGCAGATAAAACGGGTTGATAATGTTTTTCAGCATGTCATTGAACTGTCATACAACAGAACCCGGTTTGTATGCCGGGTATCCTAATTCCCCTTACCCTGAGATATTGTCCATGGACGATGAGGTACTTTGCGAGCCATGGGAACCTGTGAGTCAGGTGGTCGTGCTCCATGTTCCGGGTGTTGTTGTCGAACGTTGACAGATAGTAAATGGTGGTGTTGTCCAACGATTCCATGAAATATCTACGTAATAGGTAAATGTTAGTTGAACAAAGATATGTTGTGCTGTTTTACAATTTTACAACTATACCAAACATGTTGAATCAATGTAATGGGGTTACAAAACACCCCAGGGGAGCTTTTTTTTTTACCAAATATCAGTTAAAACTGAAATCATTAGAAATCAGTCCAATTTCTCATGTTTGAGTTTCTCCCTCAACTCAACTTCCAGCCTTTTTCTATTTCAACTTTTCTATTGTTCTTTATGAAATAGTATAATGTTACTTACCCACTGTCATCCAACATGAAACAGTCATATTCATCCGATAGGCATTCGGGAACCTAAAAAGATTTACAACACAGGAAATCTCATTAAAGATGAATTCTGAGACTTGGGAAGTATATTTGAAACTGCTCATTCAACGTATTTCCTGTGTCTGACTTTTGACCTCCTTCATTTCTCCCTGTTAATTTTCCCGGATCCAAGTGCTGTCAAGCTACTTTTAGGTTCACTCTATTTTCTCTACTGACCCTTTGTCGCCCTTTATACGCATTGCTACCTAAATGCCATAATATTGGCTGTGTTTCGTTAACAAACCTCTGAGTAGAGCATGGAGTAGAAGTACTTCTCCGTGATGTCAGCAGCGATAACTCCCATGATCTCTTGCTTTCTGCAAAGAAAATCAAAGCGTTTTAAATTAGGAAAAATTAGGAAATTGGCAGTTTTGAAAGTGCAAAAAGAGTTATGTAGTCTTAATTGAGTATAGAATCGAATGTGACTGATTGAGTCTTACTCGGTGTGGAATATCAATCTGCTGATGGTGACCATGTTGCCTCCGCCGAACGGACTGGGGACCGGACGGGAGAAGGTGTAGTCGTTAGGTCTGCTCAGGGCGCGCTTGTACCTATGGATGTGTGAAAAAGTGGTAAAAGTGATTTTTCTCTTCTGCTCTTCTTCTTCTTCATCTTCGACTAGGTAAAATTCTGCTGCCCTTTTGTGGCTTATATGAGATGGGGTTCGCCAGGCCTCCATCCAGAAAAGTCGTGTAAAGTGCCTCTCCCAAGGGCACAAGAACAGTTACATGCCAGGGTTCGAACCCGGGACCTCGTGGTTCCGAGTGCAACGCTCTGCCGTTACGCCACACAACCCCACATTACCACGGCTCCATCATATTTGAGACAAAACTAATGAAAAATTGAGAATTTTGCTTCAAAATCTTTCCCATTTTCATTTAGATTTGTCTATTTCTAGCCGATGTAAGAGTAAAGGGCTCACCATGTCTGGCGGGTTGGGTCGTAACGCTTGTCTGTGATGGTCCCGGGGAAAATCCTGAACACTCCGTTTTCTGTGCCAAAGTATCTGTCAGATAGTTGAAAAGAAAAAGAGAGAAAATACAACGAATAAGTCATATTGTAAAACTGGTGTTGGTATGTGGTAAAGGACAACAATAAAAGGTTAATGTCCCTACCAACGGCAGATATCCAAATGGCATAAGACATGGTCTGTTTTTTTAACGACTGAATTAGCGAACATATTCCCTCTTGATCAAGCCATTGTGTGTGTGTCCAGTTTGATTTTCGTAACCAACAAGGTAACTATAGTACAATGACCAGCAAACATGTGTGTCGTTACCTCCAGAGGGAGTCATGATCGTGTTCCCTCCAGTACTGCTCGATCTCAGCAGACAGGACCACGTCAGTTCGGATGCCATCTAGCAACCCTGGATGTAGAGAAATGATAATCATGTAAATAATACTTAAATAAAATATTTATTTTCATTTTCTACTTATGCTACAATGATGATGGTGATATGCTACAATCATGTGACTCCAGCACCGGTGTTTTATACGCCGATATGGGCTGGGTTGCTAGACACAATAATAAAATGCATTGATTGATTGATTGATTCATTAATTGGTGCATCACGTTCACCGACTAAAAATACATAGCTCAGACATCCAAAACAGTACTTCCGGATAAAGCAGAACATTTTGCAGGAATACCTGGATTAGCCATAGAGCCGGCAAAGTCGTTGATGAAGAGTTCGATGTCGGCAACACCTTTAAACGTCTCAAAGTTGTTCAGGTAGTTGATTGGATCAGCGTAGGCCTCTGGTGGGAACTGCAGTTTGCAATGGCAACAAATGTGAAAACAATATTTTTTTACAGCTGTGATATTGAGTGGACACTCAATTTATTGAGTGAAATCGTATGTGACAAGTGTTTAGTAGAATGCTTATTGTAATGTAAATGTGCGTTAGACAATACAAACACAGGCTAATGTTAGACAATAAAGAAATAGGGTAATGGTAGACAATAAAGAAATAGGGTAATGGCATTAGGTTCTTAAAAACTGTCCCGAGGTGTTGAACTAAAACACCGCGCACAGTACTTTAGTATTTCGATGAATCCAATAAATACTCTGGTAGTCTCGCGAAATTAAACACGTACCATAACAGTTGACTTATCAGGCGTGGCGTACTCGTCATACAGTCTGCAGAACTGCGTGTTGCCGGTGGCGTTGTTCATGTACAGCAGGTCCAGACGGTGGTACAGGTCGCCCACGTTGTTCTCGGGTATTACCTATCATAATCCATGTATAAGTGTAAAATAGAATAGCATGATTTAGTTCTATTTATCTATCACACGTCGCCAAGCTTGCTCTCTGACATTTGAACAACATCAGATTGCGCCTTTTGATTGAACTACCATGTCATGTATTTGTCCCCTGTGTTGGTGGCGGCATTAATATAAGTTGAAAAAAACTTGAATGTGCCGTCACCACGTCTGGTGATTACATGTTGGAATAAAAAAAAGAAGTAGGTCGTGAACAATTTATACCAATAGGATAGATATTTTTTTTTTCAATTTTTCTCCAATAATACAAAATGTAAAGGTCAGAGGAACAATTACCTGCGTGGGGATTGCTATGGTCTCATCATCTTCAAACAGACAGAGCACGACGCTGTACTTGGTGTCAGGAATGGGTTCGTAGTAGAAGGTCGCAGCTTTCTCTATGGTCACGGCTCCGTCAAACTGGGCATTCCCGCGGGCAATCGGGACTTTAACGTCCTGTGTCGACAAAATAACGCAATATAACGACAAATGCATGGATTTCCATTGGTGATTACGTTACATCGGTGGTGCACTCATCATTTTTAAACCCGAATGTGGTCATAACTTATTCAAGCGCTTTTTCTGCCAATATGCACATGGACATGTCAGAAACTAATCATAAGGGAGTCAAAATAGAACATTATTGGCAAACAAATTGGCAAGTAACATCGGGAATAGACAGGTTTTTACGTCAATATAGTAGTCTCCAGTGTCTCCATTCAGAATCTTGTTGATCTCCCGTGACCTGAGAGCTGACTCCATGGCTTCCAGACCGAGGAACGTCGGCTCTGACCTCCACTCCATGGGTTTGGGCAGGTTGCTGTGGATGAGCACTCGGCCATCTGTGGACGTATGACATAATTACCTTATGCAGTGTGTTCTAAATGTAACCGTGCCAGACAATGCTGGTACAGATTGCCCGTTCCTATATAGTGTTTGAGCTAGCTGGTTTACGGATGTCCTAGCGGACTAGTCCGGTAATAAGGAATCATCAGCTCATGTTGGTATTTATGAGAATTGGAATGCGTTTCTTTCGACCTTTTTGTATGACCACAAGCTCTCGAGGTGGAATCCCAGTCAGCCACAGATCGACTACCAGGTTGTGTAACGCCTAGAGTACAATACGCCCACATGGTTACAGCACTTTGACCATATATACGGACTTCTACTTACCCTCTCTGTCCACCAGGAAAGCATATGAATATCGGCCGATGTTGAAGTTGGCGATCTCATGAAACACGACGTCCATGGAGATGTCCACAGCTGTCACTCCGAAAAACGTGCCAGCTGTGTCAATGGTGGGGAGGGCGGCGTTTATCACCAGACCTGGAATAACCACAGAAAAGCTTTTAATTGCAAACCCATTCCCGGGAGCTAATTGCATTGGATTCAGAATATATAGAGGAATAAAACAATATCATAACAACAGTGTGTTTGTACTTCAACATACCAAGATGCTCATCGTTGGTTGGCACAGAGTAGGTCGGCTCAGGGTTGTCAGACGGGAAGAAGTCGTAGTAGCTGCCCATTATGGTCTTTAGTTTGTCGCCCTGGTTGTCGTCTGGAGGTACGAAAGAATTAATAATAAAAAAGAAATTTATCTATATCTTCGAGACAGATACCATTGTGTATAGTTCTTTATAATTCTAGTCCTTTACACCACACAGCTTGGACTACTTTACATAGAACCTACGTGATGTACAAGTACTTTACATTAGGTAATTAACAAAGACGAAAACCAATCTCCCGTGTGACTCGCAGCCCTGGAACCTACCTATGTAATCTGTCCTGCCCAATGGTCCCACGCCTTGCGGATCCCTGTTTGCGCTGAAGCACGATCCGTACATTTGATTTGCGCAATATCCGTTCTGTTGCAGGAAAACACATCAAATGCATTATTGTAGACTTGCTGTCTATAATATTTCCTATTCGTGTTGCATAATTGAAATTCGCCTCACCACAATAAATGCATGACTAGTCTGACTGATGCTTGAGATACATTTTCCATTCCGAGACCCAGCTTGGCAGTTTGCGAGAAAGAAAAACATTATATAAAGGACAAGAAACACACGAATCGTTTAAAGATAATCATTAGCATCATTTGTACATATTCTTGATATGAAAGTTTGGAAATAATTTTTCGCTCATTCAAACAGCCCAGTCAGGCAGGTTTCTAATCGTCACACCAGCATTAGTGAAGAAGCCCGTTACCGTCCACTCCACAGCTCCCGGGATCTGATGATTGTTCTGATCCGCGATCGTAGCCAGGAAGTCCAATGCAGGTAACTTCACCCAGGGGTTGTTGGGGTCCGGGGCCCAGCCGCTACTGGCCGTTTGGAGAGCTAAGCCCAGCCCGTAGGTAAAGATGTGCACAGAACGTTCCTATGTAAAACAATTCAGAAGTTTTGTTTCAATTAAGCTAGATAGCCTTTGTGAAAACAGATTTACTCCTAAAACAACTGCTACATATACTCTAGTTACACTCTACGTATATGGACATACCATGAGGCCCTGGCCTTTAGCAATTTCGTCCAATGAGAAGTAGGTGTCTGTTGGCTGTCCGTCAGTCAGGAAAATGATGATGTTGTAGCAGTCATCAAACTGTTCCTGTTAGATTTAAATCAATTGGAATAAAACTTAAACAGGATTCTCATACAGGTTTGGTTGTTATCTACATGTATATATGAAATTGTTTCTTCCGTTTACTTTGTTCAATGTTCTTGAATATATGACATCTGTACAGGTATGTGATGTGAGGTTATTCAACCATTTAGTAACAGTAACACACTTATTTAAATCTTAGCAGAAGCATTCATAGTGAGAGTAAATTACCACATGAATTGAAAATGGTTGCTTACCGGTTTCTTGTTTTTAGCCTCATGGAACATGTTGAATGCTTTTTTGAACCCTTCAGCGTACACGGTTATAGCTAGGAGGGAAACATATAAAAACAAACTAAAATTTCAACTAATGGCAACTGTCCCATTTTGAGAAAAAGAAAACTGTAACTGGGCTTGGATGACAAAATACACATATCTCATATTTGCCGATGCATGTTGTTGTCTTGATTGTTTACACTTCTTGGGGAAACCCTTGGACAATACCACTTACTCTCAGGCACACGTTGGTTGATGAAGTTCTGCATGATTCCGATGTTTGTAGGGTTGGCTTCTCCCAGACTGTCTCCTAGGCAGCCTTCTGGTGCTTTTGCTCGGGCACTGAAAGATACCACACCTGCCTAGCGAGAAAAAAGTCTAAACATTAGGACTGTATCCTAGCAATTCTAACATGCTGTTTGATGTTTGTTTTACATGCATTCACATGTTTTGTCACAAAACTCACCCAGTCCCTAGGTGTGAGGGTGTCCAGTACCGTCAGAGCTGCCTGCTTGGACAGGTTGAGCCTGTTGTTCTCCTCTGGTCCTGGAGGCTCCCGCATGGACCCGCTCACGTCCATCACAATCACCACGTTCTTCTTCTTAGGTGAGGCGGCGCTTACGTACCAGTTTCTGTGACATGAATAGATGAAAAAAAGATAAAGGTGGTAAAGATGATATAGAGTATTAATAACCGCACATTTGGACAGCAGTCAACGTTCTTAAAATGGGTTATAACTAGAAATGCCGCCATTTCCTTTTGAGGAAATGTAGCGGATGGTTTTACCACATTTTACAACATGGCAGGGAAAGAAGGAGAAACACAAGGGAAAACACAAGTGGCAAACACATTACCTACGTAACATATTATATGAATCATTACTTAATCAAATTGCAGACCTGAGCTTTCTTACCTGAACCTGTGATCGTTGCCCTCACATGACCTGCCGCTCTTGGGGAACTGGTGATACTCGCCCTCTTTGGCGCCATAATACTGCCAGGTCACCCCGGACATCTCATGTATGTTGGACTTCATGGTGTCGTACACATGCTGCCGGATTTTGGTTTCTGCAGGTGGGGTGGGGCCGAGGTATGCTGGAATATAATGTTTCACTGTGAGTTTAAAACCTAGACAATGTACTTAAGTATTTAATAGGTAACTAATGGGGTTCCATGTATTCAGAAAATAATTACCATCAGTGAAAGTAGCGCAGCTGTCGTTGACGATCTGCTGCAGGAACCTCGGGTCGTACTCCAGCTGGCCGAGGTTGTCGCAGCAGTCCGAGACAGAAGCGCCCCCTGCCGGGCCCTGTGCATAAGAGGCTTCTATCTCAGCCTTGTTCCTGTTCAGGATCTCCCGGCACTTCTTCAGACGGTCTCCTGCTGCCCGGGTCATCAAATGGAGCTGCGTTTCGCCGTCGATCTGTAAATTAGTATGAATCTGGATGGGTTCAATTTGTTATTTCAGATGTTAAATTGTAGTATTATTACGTTAGGTTCATTCGGTATCGAATTGTTTGCTAAGCGACAAACCGTTTAAGTTTTGAAATGGAAGATTGAATCTGAAGAGAGATAGGATTTATTATGATTCGAATTTTATCCTGAATTAGAATCCTAAATCACCTAGCCCTACGTAGTATTTACCTACGCCTATAGTATAAGCATGGGGTTATTGCAAGTTAAAATACGTCAGTTTAGTCTCGTTCATAACGCCAGGCCAACATTTGTACTGATAATAACTGCAGCCTAATGGATCGTGATCAATATTTGGTAGTTGACGTAGTTGATCATTGGTTAATCCCAGTCACCACATTTTATCCTACCCAAAACAACGGCTGCTTAATAGCTGATTTATATCAACTTACATACCATTGTTAATTATTTACTATTCGTTGTTGCTACCAATGCTATTAGAATGCTATTTTTATTGCAAAACCGTCGTAAAAGTTTGCTTACGGTTGCAATAGTTGTAAACTTGTCCAATGCTACATTGGTCAAAATGAATTATCTGATGCTGATGTACAATAGGGATCTCTTGGATTTGAAATCTATTCTTTGCCATAAAGAGTACAATGTCACATTCCAAGACGTATAGGCGTATTCATACGCGCAGAACCATATAAATCACCAGGTCAATGACGTGTAAAACAGCATTTTTGCCCATTGCCCATTCTTAATGAGGATATTTCAAGGATTACATACCTGAATCTCGGTGAAGTTGAGTTTCTTGTCGTACGCCTTGACCAGTTGCATCGCGCCGGTTTGGGACTCGGCGAAAGTCGTCATCTTGCGGCTGACCCTGGGGATCCAGTCGGTGGTGATGGGAGCGGTGGACAGGTCCGCCAGACACAGGCCCGGCAAAACCGACAGGAGTACCAGTAAAGTAACGCCGCACATCCTGACGATACTACACTGTAACGTTGGGAGAAATTTCTCGCTATATTACGCGCCCCTCACGTCTTTGACAGACGTGATTTCTAGGTGCCCCTCTAGCTCTGTGGCTCTGTCAAGGGCGCCCCTGCAGCAGTGATGTCGGCAGCCAACTGCTCAGCCTTTTATTGCCCTTGAAAAATAAACGACGGAAGTTGTTTTTGGCCGTTCCTAAGTAACAATGACAAATAGTACAACATAAACTTTTTTGTTCCTGGTTACGACGTTAAACACGATCCATCTTTCAGCTTTTAACAGGCAGTAAAGGATTAAACAGTGTTAAACTTTCTTAAATGATAAGAAAAAAGGGGTGCAAACCATCCACGTGGGGGGCATTGCTTTGACTGTTACTAAGTCCGTTTCTAAGTGACGGTACTAAATATTGAACAACATTTTTCTTACAACTGAATGTTTCTATCTTCTCGTTTGGGAAGAGGCAGTTTGACGACGGATGATACCCCCATTAGAGACAAGTAAGAGATACCCCCATTAGAGACTGTGTAAAGATAAACTACGGATTCTTCGTTGCTGTTACTGTGTTACAAGGATAAGTATCTTAACACAATACTTTGTATCTATTTATAGTGGAAAGGTCTCATTTTTGCCTGTTTTAGGAAAGATTCCCTTATCAATAACAACAGACTGTAAGAATGTCTGAAAAATAAACAGAAGGAGACTTACTTGTACCGTCGCCAAGTAACAGCGATCAATAAACAGCAAATTTACTGGTGTTACCCTACACTACTTACCACTGGTCTACACACATAAACTTACAAGTCAAACCGTTTTTACAGTTCCAAATACAGAAGTATTGACAAGTTCTGTAAGTTCATGCATGACACTGAAGAAGAGTAATGGATGCCTCTAAGAACGTCCGGAAGCTATCTCCCATATCTTTGAGTACTTAGGGTATAATAACACTTTAACCCACTTAACACACACATATTATCGCGTCTTAAAATCAGTGAAGTCATCGGCAGTGTTTGCTTATCACTATACGATTAGACGTAATAATAAAAGACTTTCATGTATGGCCAATAGCAAGATTTGTTAAGTCTGTAAGCGATAGTATATTTTGTACTTGGCAGAATCTGCCTTTTGCAGTAATTTTTCAACGGTCTCTATATTACCTGCGCTTTATCCCAGCAGAAAACTTCCGCATTCAATATTGCACACGATAGAGGTACAGCAGCTCTGACGTACCCAGAACCCTGCGTTATCCCGAACCATGCTCAGGCACGGTTCTGGAAGTTTGAAATCTAGTGCCATAAAACGTACTACTGAAAATGCTTTAAAAAGTTTTAACATTTTATCAGGCCAAGGTTCAATTGTTCTGGCCAACAAGGCAATGTCATTTAACCGACCGTTACGTTAAATATAGATCAACATTCTTCATCGGTACCCCTGTGTAGAAGACATAGCACTGGGCTCGATCCGTTCTTTTGTGAACCACTGTGTATCGTTTTATGAACTCATAATTATGCATGTACTCAGCTTGAGCTACAAAAATGCTTAGCATGGACTGCGGAAGCCGTAGCGACGTAGCAAGCCCGACTGCCGTCCCCTGCCCTTTGGTGGTTCTGGTTGCCCTTGGAAGAAGAAAAACAAACAGCATTTAAACCATTTTATGGGGAATCCTGTCTGTACAACATTCCCCTCATCCTTATAATAATAAGGTCCTACAGCAAATGCCAGACCACTAGTTAGGTAGCTTGATGATACTCTTTATTGATGAGGAAGTACTAACTAAAGTACTGACTGAAAGAAAGTACTTTTTGGCTATTTGATCACCTTCATATTCAAACAGTGGATAAAGATAGATGTTAATGAGAAAGAAATAGTGATTACTTTGGATAATGGTACCTGCGACCAATTTCCTGTGGTTGAGACTAACTATCATGATATTTTCTGTGTCTAAAGAACGCGAAAAAGCAACAAGAGGACGATTGTGAGCGAAAGTTTATGTTGTTGAGGTTCATGCCTCCAAGCTTGCCTCTGTTGTTCAGGCTACGAGCTTCGCGGCCAAACAACCATCGGGCTGATGTTATCAACTGTTGTCCTCTAAGCACACCCAATAATGGTGGTTAATTGATGCAAACGAGGTTTGGATACACACCCCTGTGCCCCGCATATTTGTGTAAGGGGGTTGTTGGCTTACAGAAGGCCGGGAAATTCCAACGTTGCCCGGGAGACGCAGTGTTGTTTGGTCGTAGATTTGTTTCCGCAGAGATTGCCCTGCTGCTCTTTGGAAACGTAAAATTCGTCATTAGTAGTGGCCTGACTAATGTGTTTGAGTTGGCTGGTACCAAATCTTGGCTAAAGACACGTGTACCATTAGCCTTAGGTGACGAAAATAGATGCTCACGCTGTGATGATTTGATACTGTTGAGCATCAATTGCTGCCAGTGACGTTTGGTCAACTGGCACTCCTGTTATGAGAGGCCAAAGTTCTTTCCTCCCCAAAAGATCCTAAGTATATTCATCAAACCACAAGCTAATAATCCTCATTTAATTAATAAGTGAACCGGAAAGAGCGAAACAATAGGAACCATTCAAATACTCGGTAGCCACTTCAGGAATAAAAGCAAATTCAATTACAGTATTTATTCAAGCTTTGTCCTCAAATCCAAGTATTGCTCACAGTTATGAGGATTCAAGCTCAAAGCTTCTTTTGCCTTCATCAATCTTTTAGACCAGTAATAAGTAGCCAAGTGGTCTCAAGAGGGTATTATTACCACCTACGTGGTTGCTACGCAACAATCGGTCATTAAATTGCATTGTTTTAGATTTGCTGGCATTCTGCGGTACTTTTGGCGGCCGGCTAATGGTGTTTTTTTCTACTTTGATTAAAAGTGCCAGGATTTGCAGTTAGAAGATCTTAAGGGGATCTAGCGTGGTTCCTCTCAGGGGTCGTTCTGACATATTTTCCCATCCTACGTGATTTCAACCAACCAGTGGTGAACAACAACCTGGCCACTATGGCCTAAAGAAGGAGGATTCTTGTCCAGGGCTTCTGGAAACTTGTTTTTCGTTTATCTCGGCCGGAAAACCGTTCTGATTGCCAGCGGTGACGACAGACTTGGAGCAAACAGGACCGGGAGGCAGTCGGAGAGGGTTTGCACCCCTTTTTCAGGGATTCTTACGTACGTTCGCTTCTCCTTGCAGCTAAAATGGATACCAAGCTGATTGTAGTAGTGTTCCTCGTGGCTTTACCGTGCCTGTGTCTGGCGGACCTGTCCACCGCTCCCATCACAACCACCTGGATCCCCAAGATCAGCCGCAAGATGGTGAAGTTTGCCGAGTCCCAAACCGGCGCGCTTCAGCTGGTCAAGGCGTACGACGAGAAACTCAACTTCACCGAGATTCAAGTAAGTACTGTTATCCAATATTCTTGCTAATACTGTGAATAATGCTGCCTAACATGACACTAGCCTAACATGACATTAAACAGGTGGTTTATAAGATCCTGTTGGACCCTATACGCCTATATATATTGGAAAGTGGCATTGTGCTCTATTATACATGTATAGCAAAAGCAGAGAAGTTAGCAAATTTGAAATCCGAGATATCCTGATTACACATTAGCAACAGATCATACAATTTGACCATATGGTGGCGACTGAAGTGCCTTTGTCTATCACAATCAGAAGAAAACCGTGTGATGTTTCTCAAGGTATGTTTAAGACCGTAGGTTGTTTAACTGTGCTCTAATCGCATATGGTAATAGCTGTAAGAGATAGGGGAATTCTTTTTACACAACCAAAGAGTCTCACCTCGCTGACGTTTCGGTGTCTGTCAGACACCTTCTTCAGAGCTTCTGACTGGTTGTGTGAAAAGAATTCCCCTATCTCTTAAGTTTTACCAACCTGATGAAACTATTTTCGGAGGCAATAGCTGTATCTAACGGAGAAGGGAATGTAAGTAGATACAGATCAGCCATTCGTTGTTTAGGTAAGACATATGGCAGATAAAATGCGTTGGCTAGGATTAACCAATGATTAACGTCTTCTTTGCAAATATTGATTACAATCCATTAAGAAGCAGTTATTAATAGTACAAATTGTTTCAAAATTCTGCCTTCTTGCGACCGGTTTTGAGACAAATCCATGAAGCATCATGTCAGTAAGGTCTGCTGTATTTTGATTCGAGTAAAAATGACAACGGAACCTATATTTTCTCACCCCATAGACACTCATTGAATGGAATGTGGTCAACAATCACTTGTTTGATTTAGCATTTGGCTGGATTATGTAATTATTATTTACTTTGAGGGCGTGAGCACTGGTCATATTTACATGTAACATTTAATAACCATTTCAGATGTTGCACCAAATTTGACTTCGGTAGTATCTATTCGTCCTTTTGTGCAACAACTTTCGTCAATGTGTTTACGTTTTCGATACACTTGGCTCTTTGTTTGCTTGTGTAACTGTTTGTTTATTTTTGGGCTTGTCTAGTCATGCAAGGATCCAATGAAGCTTGATTAGTGAGTCAATTGTCTTAACATTGACGAAAAATGTTCAATGAATGGAATGTGATCAGCAATCACGTTTGATTTTGCATTTGATTGGATTATGTAATTCTTGTTTACTCTGAGGGTGTGCGTACTGGTCATTTTCACATGTGACATCAATAACCATTTCAGATTTTTCATCAAATTTGACTTGTGTAAATCCTATTCTGGTGTCCTTTTGTACCGATGCGTCTAGATTACCTGATTTACTTGTTTGCTTGTGTTTATTTGTGGGCTTGTCTTGTCAAATTTAATGAACTTTGGTTAGTTAATCATTCGTTTTTTTCTAATTGCTTACCTTGTATTTAAGGTAACATTTTGTTCGATATTTTCACACGTGTGCAGATGACCGTGGCTTCCCGTTTACATAATGACGCTTTCACTGTTCAAAACATCTCTTTCCAACGTCTACTGACTCATAAGCTATCTTGGATAAATAATATTGTCGATGGTGGCAATTTAGGAAGCAATTGACAAGTTTTGATACATGCATGGACGTCATCTGTCAAATCTATCAATTAATGTCTTCAGATGTGAACCTGACATCTGGCTAACTCAGGGTGGTTTAGGCCGGTCAGTGATCTTTCTAGTCTTCCAAAGATTCATTTTAAGAAATTGGGGTCTTCCAAGATGACATCCCTACTTAGCTATAGGGCTTGAGACGTTTGGATGTTCTAAATAACCATTTATGTTAAGATTTCTGCAGCCTAAACGGCATTTTCATAAACAGGTAGTTTTGTCATGTGATTAACAAATACTTTTAACCAGTAGCATTAACGACCTTGTAGCAACTGTTTTTGCATCCTCACACGTTTGCCTGTCTTAGTAATTGCTATTTATGGGCATTTCGTTATCCCATAGCTGTGTGGTAAGATTTGGCCACCTCTTGAGTACATAACGTAACAGTTGGCACGTTTGTTATGGGTATATGAAGTGGAGTAAGATTAATGAGGTCTGTTGCCATTGACGACATTACGTCACACCTCAGTGGTTGTTTGTAGGCACTTACCGTTGGGGGAAAGAAAGTGAAACGCCGACATGCGGAAGGTGTACAAATTGACCAGCACTTGGTTTATTTGCAAACTTTAGGTTCTCCAACTAAATACAACCAATGGGCCTTGCGAAAACTCTTTCTGATACCGGATGGGGTCCTTACTGATATTCTCATTTGTCTTCTGTCCTAAAAAATTATCTTATTGAGACAATTACGTAACTTTTGTCATTAAACACATATAGTGAATGAAAATTGAATTTGAAACCCTTTTAATAGGTGAGGTCAAAGGTCACAAAGATGGTTGCTACCTATGTTTAGAGGTGAGTGCCTGAAATGCCGATTGTTGACACCTTTTTCTACTGGCTATCAACAAACATGCATATGGCACTAATTTGAAAGAAAATAAACTTTTGGGTCCTTTAACTTGTTAGTGCATGTTAAATGTGTGGATATAACTACAGAAACATTAGCAGACAAAAACAAAAGCTCCGAGCTAACCTACCCTACCTATGTTACACACCTGAAGTATGCTTGTACTTGTTTCGTAGATTGACGGCGAAACGCAGCTCCATTTGATGACCCAGGCAGCAGGAGACCGTCTGAAGAAGTGCCGGGACATCCTGCACAGGAACAAGGCTGAGATAGAAGCCTCTCATGCACAGGGCCCGGCAGGGGGCGCTTCTGCCTCGGACTGCTGCGACAACCTCGGCCAGCTGGAGTACGACCCAAGGTTCCTGCAGCAGATCGTCAACGACAGCTGCGCTACTTTCACCGATGGTAATTATTTTCAGAATAAATTGAATGCTATTGGTTACATATTACATACTTTATTACGTTATCTTTGTTTAGATTTTTTTCTATAGATGAAATGGTTTCAAACTCACACTGAAAATTGTATATTCCAGCATACCTTGGCCCTACCCCACCTTCAGCAACCAAGATCCGGCCGCACGTCTACGACACCATGAAGTCCAACATACATGAGATGTCCGGAGCGACCTGGCAGTATTATGGCGCCAAAGAGGGCGAGTATCACCAGTTCCCCAAGAACGACAGGTCATGTGAAGGGAATGACCACAGGTTCAGGTAATGTATATCAAATGAGATTTATCTAAAGGTGTGAAAATATCTTTTTTTCATTTCTAAGGACGTTAACTGTCGCACAAGTGAATGGAATGTGATACTCCGAAGGGAGAGTCATTGCCATAGAATCGTTGTCACTTTAACCTTTTTACCTGACAGAAATTGGTACGTCAGCGCCGCCTCACCTAAGAAGAAGAACGTGGTGATTGTGATGGACGTGAGCGGGTCCATGCGGGAGCCACCAGGACCAGAGGAGAACAACAGACTCAACCTGGCCAAACAGGCTGCTCTGACGGTACTGGACACACTCACGCCGAGAGACTGGGTAAGTATAGTAACATTAAAGGACCTCTATGCAATGGTAGACAGTATAAAACAGCATGTTACAAAACATAACCAAAAGTCTTTACATTTGGGATTTTCTGTTTCTCCCTAGGGAGGAGTGGTGTCATTCAGTGCTCGAGCAGAAGCACCGGAAGGTTGTCTAGGAGACAGTCTGGGAGAAGCCAACCCAACAAACATCGGAATCATGCAGAACTTCATTAACCAACGTGTGCCTGAGAGTAAGTGGTATATTGTCCCAGAGTTTCTCCAAGAAATGTAAATAATCACAACAAATTCCTTTTGGGTTAAAGATGCATCGGCAAATATGAGATACTAGTATATGAATTTGGTCATCCAAGCCCGGTTACAGCTTTCTTTTTCTCCATATGGGACATGTGCCATTATTTAAAAATTTAGTTCGTTTTATGTTTCCTTCCTAGCTATCACTGTGTACGCTGAAGGGTTCAAAAAAGCATTCAACATGTTCCTTGAGGCTAAAAACAAGAAACCGGTGAGCAACCATTTTCAAGTCATGTGGTAATTTACTCTTACTTTCAATGTTTATGGCAATATTTTTTTACATTGTCAGGACGTCAGAGATTTTATAACTTCACAATTTTTAGGTTGGTGTATTACTATTACTAAATGGTTGAATAATGTCAGATCACACACCTGTAGAGAAGCCATATACTCATAGCCTACGCTGAAACAAATTGAACAATGTAAACAAACTGAGAATCCTGTTTAAGTTTGTTCCAATGGATTTAAATCTAACAGGACCAGTTTGAAGACTGCTACAACATCATCATTTTCCTGACTGACGGACAGCCAACAGACACCTACTTCTCACTGGATGAAATTGCTAAAGGCCAGGATCTCATGGTATGTTCATATACGTAGAGTGTAAGTAGAGTATATGTAGAATTTGGTCTGTTTCTAGGAGTAAATCTGTTTTCACAAATACTATCTAGCTTAATTCAAACACAACGTCTCAATTGTTTTACATAGGAACGTTCTGTGCACATCTTCACCTACGGGCTGGGCTTAGCTCTCCAAACGGCCAGTAGCGGCTGGGCTCCTGACCCCAACAACCCATGGGTGAAGTTACCTGCCTTGGACTTCCTGGCTACCATCGCGGATCAGAACAATCATCAGATCCCGGGAGCTGTGGAGTGGACGGTAACGGGCTTCTTCACTAATGCTGGTGTCACGATTTGAAGCCTTTGCCCGACCGGGCTGTTTGAATGAGCGAAAAATGATTAAAAAAACGCAAGAATATGCACAGTACATCATGCTCATGATTATCTTTAAACGATCCGTTTGTTTGTTGTCGTTTATATCATGTTTTTCTTTCTTTAATTCTCGCAAACTGCCAAGCTGGGTCTTAAAATGGAAAATGTGACTCAATAATTAGTCAGAGTAGTCAGAGTGGGGTGAGGAGAATTTTAATGCAACAAGAATAGGAAATATTAGCAATTCTACATTAATGTATTTGATGTGTTTTCCTGCAACAGAACGGATACTGCGAAAATCAAATGTACGGGTCGTGCTTTAGTGCAAACAGGGATCCGCAAGGCGTTGGGCCATGGGGCAGGACTGAGTACATAGGTAGGTGTCAGGGCTGCGAGTCGAGCGGTAGATTGGTTTCCGTCTTTGGTAAATACTCAAAGTACTCCTATATCACATATGTTGTACATAGATTAATCAAAGCTGTGTATTTTTTCGAGGACTAGAATGATAACTATAGATAGACAGATAAATAATGGTATCTGCCTCTGCCGGTAGATATTAACGAGTTTTTAGGAGTAATTTTCCTTTCGTCATAACCTACAGACGACAACCAGGGCGACAAACTGAAGACCATCATGGGCAGCTACTACGACTTCTTCCCGTTCTCATCCAACCCTGAGCCGACCTACTCTGTACCAACTAACGATGAGCATCTTGGTATGTAGAAAACACATATATGTTTGTGTGTGTGTGTGTGTGTTTTCTACATTTTGATTTCACAATAGCATTTGGTGCAATTACCTGCCTGCTTACCGAGAGAGAGATACACCTAATTCCATTGGCTCTTTTTTTATTGTAGTAATTGTTCACTATAGGCGGGAATTGTTCTCGACCATAATATGCTGCATACATACGCAGGCGTAGAGCTGTTAGATTTTTTTTAACATTCTTAGACCCACACAAATAAATGATTGATTGCCCCATTGACCCTATTCTTTTCCAGGTCTGGTGATAAATGCCGCCCTCCCCACCATTGACGCCGCCGACACGTTCTTCGGAGTTACAGCTGTGGACATCTCCATGGAGGTTGTGTTCCATGAGATTGCCAACTTCGACATCGGACAATATTCCTACGCCTTTCTGGTGGATAGAGAGGGTGAGTAGAAGTTTGAAAGATGTGTATCGTAAAACGCTGTAAAAGTGTGAGCGTAATTGTGCACCAGGTATTCCGCGTTACACAATATCTTGCGGTCATTCCTATAAGTATACCATAATAGGAATTCAGCATTGTCTGTCACTGAGGAAAACAGTTCACCTCAAACGCTATCACGACTTTAAACTTTAGACTTTAAAGGATTTTGATGTTGTTAATTCTCCTGATGTTGAGGTGTTGATCATCAGCCTCATCGGTATGTGCTGGGCCAACCATAAATTTATTAACAAGGGTACCTGGCGGGCGTCATGATGGATAAAGCAGATTGGAGGGAATCCCCGACCTGATAATGAATTATCTTATACCTCCACAGACGGCCGAGTGCTCATCCACAGAAACATACCCAAACCCATGGAGTGGAGGTCAGAGCCGACATTTCTCGGTCTAGAGTCTATGGAGTCAGCTCTCAGGTCACGGGAGATCAACAAGATTCTGAACGGAGACACTGGGGACTACTGGACTGACGTAAATACTTATTTCCGATGTTACTTGCAAATTTGCATGCCAGTAATGTTTTATTCTGATTCCTTTATGGTTCGAGGCTAATTTGACTCCTTTATGGTTCCAAGCTGATATGTCCTGACATGTGCATAATGGCAGAAAGGGCTCTTGTATAAGTCAGGATCACAATTGGGTTTAGTCAAATTTTAAACTTTTATCACAAACAATACTGCTATTTATCGCGGACGTTTTTTTCATAACCAACTAAACAGAGAAGCATTAAAATTAAACGATAGGAAATTAAGGAAACACCATCTGTAATATAAATAAATAAAATCTAAACCAATGTAACGCAATGCATTGGCTTTTGCAATTCATGTATTTGTCGTAACATTTGCGTTTATGTTCTCGACACAGGACGTAAAAGTCCCGATTGCCCGTGGCAATGCCCAGTTTGACGGAGCCGTGACCATAGAGAAAGCTGCGACCTTCTACTACGAACCCATTCCTGACACCAAGTACAGCGTCGTGCTCTGTCTGTTTGAAGATGATGAGACCATAGCCATCCCCACTGAGGTAATTTCTCTTCAACATATAGGTTCGCCAGTTTACGGTACAATGCTGATAACGTTTTCAAAACGTGGACTATACGCTACTATCTTATGACTATAATGCAAACTGTTTGGTTGATGACCAAAGTCAAGCCTTCTTACATAAATTGCATTTTTATCAATGATTTAGTATCAGAATCAGATCAAACTTTAGTCACAGTAATGACTACGACATAGTACTATGTAATATAGTAATATGTAAATCACATAGACCGCTACATGCCATTGACGTATTACTACGTATTTTGTAATTGAAATTTTGATTATATTGTTAAACCTGAACGAAAATCACCTCGGAAAGAATACCATAGAAATTTCTGCTAAGAGTCTACTAAAGGTATTGGGAACATCTGTTTACCTTGCCATAGGTGAACCCTGAGAACGGCACAGACGCTCTGTACCACCGTCTGGACCTGCTGTACATGAACAACGCCACCGGCGACACGCAGTTCTGCAGACTGTATGACGAGTACGCCACGCCTGATGAGTCAACTATCAAGGTAAGATACACTTAGCATTACTCTCTCTCTCTCTCTTGGCTTGACTTAGCATTACAGTAAGATAATAAATGGCTTATATACAGCTCATTGATACAGTTATGTGGTTCTACTTTAGCAGGACAAAAACGATAACCTTGAAAACAATAGACAAATGTATTTTGAAACAATGCACTGATCACTGCACTGAACCTTCCTGAAGTATTTTGGCCTACTTCCTCGCATCATTATACCTGGCTGATTTGTAACAAGTTTTGTAAAACCTACAGTTCCCTCCAGACGCCTTCGCTGACCCCATCAACTACCTAAACACTCTGGAGACGTTTGATGATGTTGTTGACATCGAACTCTTCATCAACGATTTTACAGGGACGATGACCAATCCAGGTATGATAATCTTTTTTAGTACAGAGACTCGTCTTACACAACCGAGTCTTTTATTCAGCCGACGTTCAGCACAGCTGTCGCTGCTATGTATAAATTCCCAAACGTACGATATCTGTGCTGCAGTGCAATGTGAGCCAGTCAGAATTACCCTGAGAAAGGTGACAGACGGTCACCGAAACGGATGAGCTCTCTTTTATGCTGAGACACAATAACTGTTTAAAAGTATCCGCGTATGCGTACCAACGAATGCATATCTTTACCCAGGTCTTATAGAGGGGATCCGAACTGACGTGATCCTGTCAGCTGAGATAGAGCAGTACTGGAGGGAGAACGGAACAGAATCTGTGTGGAGGTGGCAGTCTGTCTGTACATGTGTATATTCTAGTCTTCAAAGTACGATGCGATAGATGATTTAATCAAAGCTACACAAAGATGGACAAGATTCATAGTAAGCTCATTAAGTTGTCTGATGCAGATCAAAACTTGACACCAGTTGACGTCTTCCTGTATTATTTCAAATTGTCATGTTTGGATTTTGACAGATACTTTGGCACAGAAAACGGCGTGTTCAGGATTTTCCCCGGAATCATCACGGATAAGCGGTACGACCCAACCCGCCAGACATGGTGAGTCCATTTTAGTTGTTTTTCGGCATCAGGGCAGAGTTGAAAAGATCTATACTACCATGTAAAAAGAACAGCATATTTTAAATAAAAGTTCATATGTGTTGATATGAGTTGTAAAAGATGGAAAAAATTCAAACTGTTTCTCCATAGGTATGCGCGTGCCCTGAGCAGACCGGAAGACTACACCTTCTCCCGTCCGGTCCCCAGTCCGTTCGGCGGAGGCAACATGGTCACCATCAGCAGAGTCATCTACCACACCGAGTATAACCCTTATTTACATCTTCCTTCCAATTTGTTATAATGAGAGGCCTCCTGACCGTGCTAAATATCTAAGTCTGTCAATCTTTGCTGATTCCTATTTCAAATTATTTCAAAACTAATGTTGTTTGCAGAACCGAAGAGAGGTTGGGAGTCATCGCAGCTGACATCACGGAGACCTACTACTACTCCATGCTGTACACTGAGGTTAGTGCCAAACCTTACAAGAGTATAAAGCATGATAAAGTCAACTTTAGGAAATAGAAACAAATTAGGAATGGCGACGATCAAGCTCAGTACTATGTTTCTAGTATCTGTTCTTACTTTTAACATAATATAATTGCAGATTCCAGAGTGTCTGTCAGATGAGTATGACTGCTTCCTTTTGGACGACAGTGGGTGAGTGGTTAATGGTTTATTTATATGGATGAAAAATTGAAGTTAATCCCTAATAAAATGGGCAAGAATATGCATGATTTGGATCGACAAGCTGTGAATAATGTATTCAGTTAAATGCAACGTACTGATCTTCAAATACAAGAGAATTTTTACGAAGCTGCAATCTATTGCACCCTGCCAAAATTGGAGGAACAAATGCATCTGGATACTTCTCAAATCGACACTGGTTGATAATTTTACCTTTCAGGGGTCCAACAATGGCTCGTTCTTTGAGTACGCAAGCAAAGCAAAATGCTTTAATAACTCAATGCCGTTCAATGTAGGTACTTTATGGAGTCGCTGGACAACACGACTATCTACTATCTGTCAACCTTCGACAACAGCACACGGAACATGGAGCACGACCACCTGACTCACAGGTTCCCATGGCTCGCCAAATACCTCATCGTCCATGGAGAATACCTCAGGGTAAGAGAGATCGGTATGACCATACACCAATTGCAGAAGAAAAAGAAAAGCGAAATAGTGGTTCTTCCGATTCAAAACTTGACATGGTATTGACATTAACCCAAATTACCGGTGACAGTAGATAAAAATACTTCATTGTCAATATCATCACCATCATGGCGATCGAAAATGGTTATTTGGGTGTGATACATATATATTCAACGGCTTACCATATCTAAACCTTAAATTGTTACATACAAGCCATTTTTTGTCATGCAGAGGGAATGGTGCAATAACTTCGCTACCCAGAATTCCCAAATGTTTTACGACACAACCGGGTTCGTCGGCCTGGAGGTCACCACCGGCCCGTCCTGTTACCAGTTCGCCCTGCATCCCATCAACGCCACCAACACCTTCATTCTGACGTTGCACAACCGACAAACCTACAACTGTGACGACCGTCCTATCGTAGTTGGCGGCAACCAGGTTTGGGACAATCGTCAGGTTGTACAGCTTCGCTTGCTCCGCGTGTTTGGGGAGGAACCCGTCTCATGCAGAGGTTCTACCTTAGTTTGCACCACCTGGTCACCTTAATAGATAATGTGTGCACCATTCAACACTGCCTCACGTAACGGCACCTTTTGTACGAAATCATATCACCAGCACCTCACCGTTTAAATGCACCACCGCAATGATACTGATTACACAGAAGAAGAGATAACTGATGTGGAATGTACAAACCTGGGTACTTACCGCCTTCTGCCAAAAACACAGCGTAGGTAGATCCCAGCTTTTCCAATAGGCTTTTCTGTAGTTTCCCAGTGCGCCAGTAGATCTGCCTTCGTGCTAGGACATTCCTGTTTGAGTCCATGAAGTTCCTTATGAAGTCTCTGCAGTGCCCAGAGTTGTACATTCCTGTGGTGTCCTCTGCATGGTCGAGTCCTTTCTGTAGAAGACCAGACTAGTCTGCATGATGATGTAGAGATATGTTCACCTTAGACAGCACCTTTAATGTAGTCCTTGCAGCGTTTCTATGTTTGCATGCGGTAGCGTGTGCATGTCGTGCCGTTTCGTGGATGAAGACCTAATTGAGATGGCATGAAGACTTGTTGGTTGACCCTGGATACCGGTAAGGTTGTAACTGTTGGATATATGTGTTTTGAACTAAAGGATTGTATAAAGAAGTGTCTTTGCAGGAACATGATACATGCATTTTATAGATATATCTATCCAGAAGTTGCTCATAGAGTACAATTTGATAATTGTTAGAAGATTCGTTTAAAAATTGAAGCAATGCATATTATATTGAGTGGTTCATGCAAGTATCATCTATCCTAGTTACAACACAGAAAGACTTGACCTTGGGCGCATAGTTGGTTGTGAATGTGAAGTTGGTGTAAACTATTCAAGTAAAGTTTGACTTACTCAATGTGTGTTTTAAATTACTACTTCTTGCAGAACTGTTCCTGCAATGATATTTGTCAGGTATGCAGTACTGAGGAACTCCAAGAATGCCAGGTAAATCTCATTTCGTGATAGTGACCAAAACACGATGATAACCATGATGGCAATATCAGCTTGAAGTTCATATTGTTGGGTTATAGTTCGTCACATTTAATTATGTTCTGATGTATTAAGAACATACTCTACCTATTATATGGCTCGGGTGCACTGCTTTCATTTAATGTACTTACCCCATACTTATCTTATTTTTCGTCCAGTGCCCCTGTGTTTGCGACTGGAACTACGAGTCTTGTACCAATGAAATCCTTCGTCTTCTCTCTGACATCCCCTGTCCTCGTGAGTACAAACAAACCTCGTGATGTTAGCTGGTCTCTGACTACATCATATTTATGCTATGCTTATGCTTTGATCACTAACTGCAACGGCCTCCTGCACTTGCGTAGTAACTATTTGTTTCTTGTGTCGTTGATTTGATTTGATGCTAATCAATCATATCTGGGGTTTACTTCCGGAAAACGACAATGCATGATTGTTTCCGTATAACAATGAATAAATAATGAAAAATAAAACCCTGAGCTTTTCTCAATCTCAAACGCATCAAGTTCTTTACAGGTAGATGTAGACAACAACAGGCCTATATGTAGAGTTTAATTTTGCTGCTGTTTCCACCTTGTTCTGCCGTAGAGTCTGCTCAACCCGCCTTTAGGTCGGCTTCTTCCTCTGCTTGCGCTCTAGGTTAGCAACTCTTTACTTTGACAAAGTGGCTTTTTATCATGAAGGAGGTCTTATAACAAACTGCCATTTCCGACACAAGGAACTGGACTTACCCAAATGGATGTTAAAGTTACATAGTTGAAAATTTTAGTTTCGAGTCCAATTTCTTGTGTTGGAAATTAAAATTTGAACTTGCTTCACAATGGCTTCTACCACCGTAGAATTCAATACTTGACAATTTCAAGAAATGATAATTTATAACTGAGGAATTGCAAAAGGTAAACCATTTTGTAACTGTGAAAGCGAATGTAAAATCCCAGTAATGAGCTCCTGCATTTAGCCCCTCCCGAGGACCTGACGGCCCGGGGACCAGGACCGCCTTACCCACCTGAGCCTGAGGTGGAGGACTGCGAGGAGAAGTGTAGTGCGCAGTAAGTACTTTAGTCATGGTGTATATTTACAGTTAGGAATAGGATGGTGTTATACTGACCAGCCTTCTTAGGTCGTGCTTCAATTACTCCTCAATTTCAGCAAGGTTGTTTTGAGCATGGTGTATCCATATTTTTGGGTGAATATGGTTCTTTAGTCTTTTTACAGTCAACCTTTGTCATATCTAGAAAATACAGGTAGTGGGTATACAATTTTCCCTTACGAACACATTTATCGATATCTCTGTCCAATGTGTGGAGTGTGGAAAGAATATGTGTAGGATTACTCGTAACCGAAAATATGTAAAAGCTGTTTACTTCAATTTTCACAGATCCGACAACATCACCTGTGAGGCTCTCCCGCACTGTGTCTGGTGTGAGGAGTTGGACTTTCCTGTCTGCACGGAGATCTGTCTAACCAGGGAAAAGTAAGTTTGCATTTTTTATATTCTATATTTTTTCTTAACATTAACGTTGACATTAATTTTATAACTAAAATAACGGGGGTGCAGCATCAACTAGCAGATAAGGGACCGTTCATGCCACAGTTGTAACTACTGTTAGTGCAGGAGTAAAAGGGGGTCTGGGAGAAAATACTGCTTTAGGCTTATCCCTTGACCTTTATCATTTCAGGTTTCCCGTCTCCGTGTTCTTCCCGTGTGTGAACCTGACGGAGCTGTCACGTGACGAGCAGGAAGAGCTGAAGGAGAATTTTTACCTGAAGGTCATCCACCTGCTCCCCAATGTCACTCAGGAGGCCATCAACTTCCCGGAAAACGTGACAGAGGTGGGGTATAACATGGCAGTGTTCATGACGATCTGAAGACACCCAGCTAGTAGTTATAATGATCTCAAAGAAAGAATGTGCAGATCCTTTCCCTCGTTCTTTGACCAAGCATGATCAGGTCCAGAAGTAGAGTGAATGGTGGCAAGTTTTTCATAAACTTCTGTATACAATATCACAAATAGTCGACTATAACATAAAGTTATAATTTTCTATCGGATCGGTCCAGCCAAACCGCTGCTGTGGGCCCAGAGCTGAGAATCATCTTTGGATTTTATGCTACAAGGTACGAACTAGACAGGCATGGTTCTTGATATGACAGAAGGACAAAAGCTGACAGAAAGTAGGGGTATTCGTGACAACGCTTTTCTTTACCGACAGACCACCATAGAGTTCACGCTCCAAGGCGAGATGAACAGTCCTCCCCCGGAAGAGTCCATCGCCCTGCTGCGGCAGCAGACCAACTGGAGACAGAACTTCACAGTCGGACCTCACCGGGACCCTGCCATGTTCAGATCAGCGGATCCGGAAGACTACACGGAGTAAGTAAACTAACATAGTGTATGTGGAATGTTCAACTCCATGCGCCATGTTTCTAGAAAGCTGACCTATTCAGTCAAAAGTAAGCGGGTCAAGTACCTACTGAAGATGATAAAATCTCTTTGTGCTATAACCAAAGTTTAAACAAACCCTACAATATACATTCTACCAACATAGATTAGCTATCAATAAGATAAACGTAAAGCTATATATAGGTGTTATAAGGCCAGGACAATTTTCAACTACTGTATTTGACAAAGTAGAAGCTGGCTAGCATCCCGTGATGTTTAATCTTTGCTATTTAACCCTTGCTATGTGTTCTGTTACCCTGTTACTAGTCTCTGTCTTAAAGTTAAAAATAAGCGGTTTGTAGAGTCATTGTTTTCACACCATATGCTTGCATCATCTTTCAGCCTGAAGATCACTCTGTTCTTCGACAACGTAAACTTCACAACGATGCTGTCCAACAACCCGACATCCGATACCAGGAGAAACATCGTTGATCAGATCACAGAACTGGTGAACAACACATTATCTCCTGAAGTATCAGTGACCATGGATAATGTCTGGATGGAACAGGTTTGTCTGATTTTCAGAAACAACTGTAACTCTTTATAATATATAAATAGTATAATATATATAAAGAGTATAATAGTATAATGTATCCTCGTCATTTTAATAGAACAGCGAACTCTGCAACATCAAACAAATGAATGCGTAGTGTATGTATGTAGTCGATTGTTATTTTTAGCTCCATCATTAAAATATCTCTAGCATCTTTAGTGGGACCTCAATGAATAGTTCTAACTGCCTGTATTGCCTTCTACAGAACTACATCCCATTCACAATATACAAGCTTCCAGACAGCCCGGTTCTGCTGATGGACGAGTTCAGGAAGTTGGAAGAGAAAGTCAGAAACGCAGATCCACAGACCATAGTTACCGCGAAGGGTACAAACTACTCTCCTGTCAGCATCAGTGCAGAAGGATCCTTCTACCAGCTGTGTCCTCAGAGCTGTGACGTGGGGTAAGAAATTATTTGTCGTCATAGTAGACAGAACTTACTATATCTACCTCTCTTTCCTCATTACTGAAAACAACATTTTCGCTTTGATATATACTTGACAAAGTTAAGTATCTCTGGGTTGTGGAATCGAAGTCCAAGATTATAATGCAATACATGTTATCCATATGGTAATAGTGTACTTGAAGTGTGTCATTCTTTTGCCCCGCAGACTATCCAAGGAGAACTGTGACGACATCCCATCCTGCAACTGGGAAGACTTCATACCTCCTCACGCCTGCTCCAGCAACAGCTACCTGGTGGAAAGGTAGGAACACATTGTAACTGTAGACAAAATGAACAAAATTGCATTCAAAGACATCCAAATTCATTCATTGGATTTAATTGTACAATCTTTGCGTGGCATTCACTCTTTATTTGCCATCCATGAAGCTGTTGTACGTTCTTATGGTTGCTTATTCAATATCACAAGTTTCCTTGTTATTAAAGAATAATTTGTAATGTGCTATGTCTCAATTACTACACTTATTATTTCTTTAACGTCCTTCACAGCATTCCACTGACGGCGTACTTTCCGTGTGACGACCTGACGCTTCTATCCCAATGGGAACAAGATCAGGTCATCAACAACTTCAGAGCCAAGGTGCTGAACCGGTTTCCCGGACTTTCTGACAAGGCCATTCACAGCGTGCAGATCACGAAGGTAGAGAATTTAGCGTTTTATTGCGAAAGGACAAAGTCAGGATAAATACAAAGTGGTACCATGACCAAGCTTAGAGCACCACTTACATCTTAGCGTTTGTTGAAAGTAAGATTGTCTTCGTTTGCAATCACCAAACTACAAACTACAAACTACAACCAAACCATTGATTGGGTATTTAAGGCGTCTGTTTTGAATAAATCTAAAGGCAATACAATTATTGTCAACTAACAGTATTATTCACGTTTTCCCTATCAGGATCCCAACTTCATTGGAAGCCAAATCAGCTTCATCCTGCAAGCCACCATGTCGGACCCGTACATCACTGATACTTACAACACACTGAAGGACGCCTTCAACAAGGCAAACCACTTCACGGTGGGACCAAACCACACCCCGAGCATGTTTGTGGCCCACGGAACTGCACATAATGCATTGGATTACACGGAGTAAGTAGTTTGGTACAACTGCTACATGTTATATTGACAGCAACTTGATTGAAGCATGAGATTGTCTTTAGCTATTTACGGTATGTTTATGTCAACGTATGTAGCTACTCTTGTTATAATGACCTAAAATGTTTTATGAAAAATCGGCAATATTGTATTGATTATCACTATGGCTTATTGTATGGGTTGTTATTATTGATTATTGTACTGGTTATCATTTATTCATTATTGTATTGATTATCACTGTATGATCCATATTTTTTGTCTTTCGCACAGCTTGCGAATCGTCTTGAAGTTTCCCGGCACAGATTTCGACGCGGTTCTTCAGGCATCTCCCCTGACAGCCCGTGCCGTCATCACGTCCCAGATCACTGGTCTTGCCAGTAGAAACTTCATCCAAGAAGTGGCGGGAACAGTGAGCGACATGTGGCTGGAGGAGGTGGGTAGAAAACAACTATATATATAGTTGGAACCTCTGTAACTAGCCATTGTCGTGTGAGACAAACTACGTATTCTTTAAGCGTCATAATACTGGTCTATTCCAAATGACTCTACACAGTGACACCCCCAAAATGAGTGTACATATATGCCTACCTGTTTGTACAAAATCGGGCTCGATCTAGACTGATTTGCAATGAAGCTTAGAAGTGATGTTGTACGAATAATGGTCGAAAGAATCATACTTAAACAGTAAAGCATAACTCTAGTAGTTGTGTTATAGTTATAGTGTTAAGGTAGATGAAACCTAATACTGGCACATATTTATGTCCTGTTCAGTGTTAGAATTACATACATTCAGTCTATCAATTTGTATCATTAACCTTGCTCTGTACAGGACATCATCCCGCTGATGATCCACAAGGATCCGAACAGCCCCGTCAGTCTGCAGGTGGAGGCGGAAAAGCTGGAGACGGAGGTCAGCGCAGACCGAGTTCAGGTCACGTTTGATGGTCTGACATACACTGCAATTTCCATGGACACGGAAGGCTCCTTCGAGTCCATCTGTCCAAGGCCGTGTACTGACGGGTGAGTGATGTAGAGGTGGTTGCTTATCGTTTTGTGTCTCAGAATATGGCAGCGAGTCAGAGGGAATTACATGTCGACATTTAGAATTCAGGAAGCGCAGGATTGCACTTTTACCGGGAGTCGTAAGTTTTCTATTCATTATTCTTAGGTCTGTTGCAGACTTGTCAACCACAAAATCTAATTGCAATAGTTTATAAATCAATCTATCTTAATGATTGGCATGACGAAATCTTTGGTCCCTAACGATAAAAATGTTCCAAACTGGTGGCGTTTGGTAAATTACAATATGCTTTGCATTATTACTAATATCATTCTATATTTCCACAGAACGGATGAGGGCGACTGTGTTCAGATCCCCGGCTGTGACTGGGGAGACTTTGATAACCCACAAGTCTGTTCGGACAACAGTCTTCTGGCCGAAAGGTAGGAAATATTGTATTGGTCAAATCTTTGACTACAAATACCGCATGTTTCCAACACTATTTTTTTCTCCAATTTAATTACATGTACATAACAAGTATCTTGAAATAATCTTTAACGACTTTAACTTCCCTCAGAAATGACAAACAGGCAGTTCTGGAAGCTAAAGTTTGGTTGTTCCATCTCTTAAAGACGAGAGCAGTTGATGCTACTACTGATGTTGGCATTTTTCTAGGTTTCTAGTTCTTAACGTCACTGAAGGTTAGAAATCCAGCTAATCACGATCAGTTGCTTTAGTAAATGTTTTCTTACGATATTTCTTATTCTATGCACATTCCTCTTTCGTGTCTGCCTATAATGGTTGCCATTCTTTCTGTCTTCAGTATAGTGGTGGAGACCCTGTTCCCATGTGCAGACTTTGAATCTCTGTCTGCAGCAGAACAGCTACAGCTGTTCACAGACTTCAAGAGAAAACTGCACCTCATGTTGCCCGGTATCCCCCAGAAAGCCATCGATATCAACTCCTTTAAGATCGTCGATGTAAGTAATTTTGGAAACACTCTGTTTAGATACTCAAAATATCCACATGTCTGTTGTATACTTCTTACGTTGGTCAAATCATGACTATAGTACTGAACTGCACATTTTAAAAATAGAAGCAGAAGACTACTTATATCTTACTATGGTGCCTAGGGTTAGTGCACGAGTCTCCTTTTTTTCTGTCCAGGACGATACCATAACCTTTGCTCTCCAAGGCACCATGCAATACGCCACCCTACAGCAGTTCTACACCACTATCCGGCAGGAGTTGGAGTGGGCGCAGGACTTCCGTATCGGCACAACAGCCAATCCTAACAGCTACAGGTCCCGCGGTCTGGAGGACTATACAAAGTAACAATGTGTTTTGCTATGTTGATAGAGATACAATCACTTTGTAAAACACTGATTTCCTAATTCCCATCTATTCATTCAAATGTTCTTTGACAAACTTCTAACAGTCTAGTATTTTGTCTTGTATCAGTTCTTTCTGTGTTTGTTAAATCAAACTGTGAACGGGAAAAGAAAAGTAGAAAAAATGTCATGCCAATCCAAAGGAAATCTGATGTAACGAAGCAATAACAGTGTAGATTCATATCATAACATTTGATCTTATGTTGCTGAAATGTTCTTCTAGCTTGCGTGTCCAGCTTATTTTCGACTCGACGCTGAATTTGGATCCGATGCTGGCAAACGACCTGACGACCTCGGGAGACGATCGGGAATCAGACAAGACAAAATCTTGTCACAGCAGGGGTCTCACCGACAGTCCTGGCAACTCTCGGGGACATCTGGATGGAAAGGGTAAGGTTTAATTTAACTTTTACTGTAAATATTTACTTTCGAACACGAAATAATTCTTCTGGGTGGCTTTGTTTTTAGGTGCGCGCTTTGTTGTCAGTGTTGAAGTTTTTTTAACGTTTCAGGAAATAAATTTAAAGTTTAAACCGGTAAAGTTTATACTATGTCCATTCATAATATGCACCTAAACTCTTTCTGTTTTATTCTCGCACAGAACATTATTCCCTTCACAATAAGTAAGGCCGCCGATGACGTCAAAAGCCTTTTGGATGAGGCAGACAAAGTGGACAATCTAATACACACTCTGCCAAACTCTGTCATTTTCGAATTCCCCATCAACGGTGTGACATGGCAGCCTGTGGGCATGCTGGTCAACGGGTCGTTCGACGAACTGTGTCCACAGGAGTGTCTGGATGGGTAAGGATCACCCATGTTCTAGTGTTGTCAGACCAATTAAACTTCAGAAATTGCTTTAGAATCTATTGTAACATAATGGGAAATTACTGAATCATTATTTCAACTCAACTTCATAGTTTTAAAAAGGTATGATATTATCTAAAAGTATTATATCCTTTCAGTACTGACCGCGGCTCCTGTACTTTGATCCCTGGGTGTGATTGGGCAGACTATGATGACCCGGTCACGTGCCTGAATGACGCCTACTTGGTCGAACAGTAAGTGATATCTACATCAGTATTTGCCCGTTTATAGACGTGCCTATGTTACGGAACTGAACCACAGTTAGCACATCTCAAACCGTCTAGTAAAGTAAAATAGGAAGAACACTCCAAAAGCTGAGATTATGGCGAATAGATAGATAGACAGGTAGGTACAGAGGTATATAGATAGATATAATTTGATATATATAAAAGAAATTTATACGTAAGATATGCCATCATTATCATCATCGTCCTCCTTTCGTCTCAGTAGACGATGCCCTTGGTCCGGGACTGTCCAAGCATCTTTTTCCTTCTTCATAAGATATGCATAACAGAGAGAAAGATACAAAGATAGAGAAAGAGGAATAGAGAGATGGCTACTGGGACTTATTGATGCAGTGCTTCGAATTCTGTTGACACTGCAATGTGAAATCTTCGTTTGTTTTTCAGCATAAACATGTCGGCGTTCTTCCCCTGCCTGTTCGTCCCCGTCCACCTGAACTCCTCCGCCCAGATGCAGCAGGAAGTGACGGACCATTTCCTGGCTGCTTTGCGCGCTGCTCTGCAAAAAAGGGGCTTTACGGTACCTGATAAAGTCATCCACGCTGTGCAAGTTGGAAGAGTAAGTTTCCTTCTAAACTTTAACATTTGCCTTCATGTATATGGGAGTATGTTTTATTGCAGTTGGAAAGCAGTGCATTGTGGATTACCAAGGGCGGAGGTGGCAATGGGGTATTTTTGTCTGGAGTTTTCAACTTAGCATCTATAAAAGCTGTATGTTCTGCTGTCGTAAATTTGTACATATGTGGCATACTGAGCTCCCATTTTATACAGTGAGAAAACTTTGAAATAAAATTAGAGCTTCATAACATGATAGCTTAACTTTATTTCCGTTGCTTTTCAATAATTTGTGAAGTTATCGAACATTTGTGAAGAGCTGTTCAGATTGGTATTTCTTGGAGACTTTTTATACCAAGACTATCAAAATTGACCTCCATCTTACTTTGCTTACAGGATACGATCGACTTTAGGATCCAGAGTACAATGGAATACCATAACCTGACCGGCCTGCAGAGTGCCATCCGGGATATTCTATCGTGGGACGAACTATTCACCATAGGCCATAACCTGGATGGGCAGTACGTCGAGTACCGGGCGGCAAATCCTGAAGACGAGTTCAACAACACGTAAGTGCCTGGACGTCTCCTTAGAATTTTTATATCATTTCTACCAAAGTTAAGTTTCATTTCCATAATACTTTAACGAGGAAATATAACACTGCTATGAGCAAAAAAAAATTCCGTATGTTTTAGCTGAAAAGTGGCGCCAGTGGCCTAGTAATTAATGTCTTTTGTAACACTTGCAACATCCTAATGATCATATTAATCCATCAACAACGTTAACTAGTAGCACCTTCTTAAGGGATTATTTGCCACCTCAAAAACCACGAACGGATGTTGCTTTTAAACAAGCACCAATTAAAACATTAGGCACTACTTTGTTTCAGTGTCAAGTTTGAGATCAGCTTCGAAGACCAGAACGGAATGGACATCGATTTCGACGCCATCCTTGAGTCGAACTTCACCATTCGTGACATATTGGAGCAAGACATCATCAACTTTGTCAGCACCTCGCTCGGATCTTCGTCTGTCGCCACTCTGAACGTGGAGAACATATGGATACAAAGTGTAAGTATTGAAAACCCTCGACCTTGTTGAAAAGAGGTCATATGTATGTACCGAACAAGCTTTCGAGTTTAAATAAAGGCTTACTACTACTACTACTACTACTGAAATGAAAGTTTTGACCAGTTGGCTGTACATATAAGACGTAGAAGTATAAAGTCCACATTGTTGTATACTATGCATCATACCATTTCTGAATGCCGTTCTTTTGACAGAATTACTGCACATTCAGTATCAGCGTCCCGCTAGATAACGTGCAGGCTCTAGGTGGAGAGGCAATAAAGCTGGTGAACAACATCGGAAACTTCGTCATCCACGCCGGAGGCTTCCAGGTTCAAGCGGTGACTTATAAGGAGACCGAGACCTGTGACTTCTGCCCCCCTGTCTGCGAACCAAGGTTAGAAATCATTTGAAATCGTTTATCGGACGGGTCTCATAATGCGTATAAATATATCTATCTATCTATCTATCTATCTATCTATCTATCTATCTATCTATCTATCTATCTATCTATATATCTCTATATATATATATATATATTATATATATCTGTATATCTATCTATCTATCTATCCATCTATCTCTCTCTCTCTCTCTCTCTCTCTCTCTCTCTCTCTCTCTCTCTCTCTCTCTCTCTATATATATATATATATATATATATTATATATATATCTGTATATCTATCTATCTATCTATCTATCTATCTATCTATCTCTGGAGAGAGAGAGAGAGAGAGAGATAGATATGGATAGATATATAGATATAGATATATATACAATACTTACTGACGTCTAGCTATAATATCACCGTTTTAGAGATCAAATTGTCTATTAGAACCAGAGTTTCCCAAGCACTCCGGTCTGACGAATCCTGGAAAATGGTTTTGATATTTTTTTCTATCATCCTCATTGACGACGTGCAGAGATGAACTAGCTTGCGGTGCCAACATCGGCTGCCAATGGTGCGTGTTTGAAGGTACGCCACACTGCGGGTCTGACTGCCTGCTGCAAGAAGAAACGTAAGTTTTATGATATCATAAAATTGTTAAAAGAGTGGGCTCGTACATCATTTAATATTTTTTTGTTTAAATCCATAAGAAGGACGGGCTTTTCCATTAAAGGTCCATATGGCATAACTTTACCATTCATCGTACCTTTACCATTAACGTCATTTAGATTAAGCTTTCATTAATAAATGAGTACCTAATGTTATTAGCTATGTTCATATTGAATTTTATAGTATAATGGTGTATCAACGCTCAGTAAATGTGAAAAAAATGAGACACGGCGTTGCGATTCCCCTAAAATTAAAACAGCTTCATGAACATGCAGAATATGTACAAAAACTGTGGGTTTGCAAGCAGTGCATGACAAGTAATTTTGTTTTGCTTTTCTTTCACAAGGCAAGAGAAGCTGAGTGCGTATTTCCCCTGCCTACCTGAGGTGCTGGACGATCAGGCAGAACAGGGAATCCTGGAGAGTTTCCGCGAGGAAGTTCGCAGAGTCCTGAGTGCCAACTTTGGCGGGTTCAACACTTCCAGGAACCTGCTCAATATCACCATCACAAATGTAAGTATTCGTCCCGTAACAAATGGAGTAAATGTGCATAGTAGTATGTTATGCTATGCTATGCCTTGATTTAAGTTAAAAGTTAACATTCTCACGCACACCCATGCACGCACTTGGATTGACAGTGGGAATTCCTTTAACATTCCTTAAACCTATCCGTAAATAACGAAAGATGGACACGTTAAGTTTCTAAAGTAAAGCGTACTTGGAACTGAGAGCTACCAATACTTATTGATTCGTTGTATTTTTGTTTCCACTTTATATTTCTACATATAAGTTACGAATGTAATATTAGAAGTATCGCATCATGACAATAAATGCATAATTTCTGACAGCATATTAATGTTTCTACTGCAGCGCACCATCTCATTCTCCCTGAAAAGCAGCATGAAGCAGCAGATCACACCTGAGATGATCAGCTTCCTCCGCAACTTCTCCAACTGGGCTGGAGTCACCATCAGTCATGGCGGAAACCGGTACCCGGCCTGGGACCCAACTGACTATACAGAGTAAGCTAATATTCTATTACATGTACTTCCGGGACGGAAATATTGTTTTGGGTGGCGCAGGTTTGGGGAGAGTTTGCGTGCGTTTCGTCCTTGGCATCAAATACTAGTAGTTGAAGTGTCCTGACGAATTTACGCCTAATGCAGCACAGGTTCATTATCATTGTCGTCGCCGATCCCATCTGTCGACCATCACTGCTTTCCACTTGCTTTTGTCCAGCGCTAGTCTTTGTGGTCCTTCTAAAGTGAACTCCATCGTTATGAGAAATGTTATATTTTGAGCATGATTTAGTTTCTATGGTATCGGTACAGTCGTGTTCGCTTCGCATTTTACAGCATCAAGTTCTTCCTCCGGTTTGATCCCGCCTATGACTTTACGGCCATGCTATCAAGCTCTCTGGACCAGAGACGGAATCTCGAAGATGCCGTTCGGGCTATGGTCGGAAGGGTGCCAGATGTCTCGCTGCCGCCAGAGCTGAAGCCAACAGTGGCCAATATCTGGGCAGAGGAGGTACATCATACTTTCAACTTTATCCAACAATGTTGACGTACGTTGAAAAATAAATCTCAATTTTATTCGTATCGAAGCGAGATTAAGTAACATGACCTACATTTTCTATCAATATCTTCCTAATTACGATAATGGGTTGTTTTTAAACGAAAAAACACGTGTTGCATGTATACGAAATCCCCCTTAACATATATAAAAGAATGAACCAAATCACTGACCGCCCACGAAATCAGCCCTGTGTTAGATTGTGTAAATAACGGACCCCCCCTTTCTCTCCACAGCATGTCATACCGTTTACCGTTAACAAGGACCCCGCACGTAAAGACATCACCATGGCTGACATCGCAGAAGCCTTCACAAAGAAACAGTTTGTGTCGACATTTCAGGAACTTGCGTTAGGCCATTGGATATTTCCTATGAACTCGGCTTCTACAGTATTTGTCAATACAACTGCTCGACAATGTAAGTCTGTGCTTAGTCTACATCATGTTAATATTCTATGTTATTTTATATGTACAAATAATAACCTGAATGTTGAATCAGTGTAGATATGACATTTATTTCTAATTGATTGCGAATCATCTGTTTGACAGTCCTTCCGAAAACGAATGCGTCGCTGTGCCAAGCTGTGGTTGGTGCACACTAAACGAAGGTCCCGGATGTGGAGACAACTGTTATCTGGTAGAATGGTATGTAGACTACTTTACAGTTTTAATGCAGGATGTACCGTATTCATGGCAACTTACAAGCATCAATTTCCAATCGTGTAACAGAGACAGGGCCAATTACCTAAGCAATAAAGAATAATGGACTTTGAGAACGGCTCATTCATCTTTCTATAAAAGATTTCATGTAGCATCCACTACTTTTGTCTGACAGTTCTATCTAGCTAGAAGCGTAAGTAGCATATCCTTACCTGGATGTTTATCATTCATGGACATTATACTATCTAGGGCGGAGCACTTCGCCTTCATCCCCTGTGACCAAACACGAGACCTGAACGACATCCAGCGTCAGCAGCTGGTGGCCCAGTTCAGACTTGAGCTGGCAAACATCATGGGTTCAACAACAGACAAGATTATCAGGAACGTCACCATTACTGACGTGAGTGGCCCAGATGTAAAATATTGCATATTGAGGAATCGGTCACTTTATAAACTGATGGTGTCTTGCATAAATGTAGCTAATGAATAAATGGATGGATGGATGAATGAATGAATGAATTAATTAATGGATGAATGGATGAACATCTACAAGTATACACAAGTATGTCACCAACATCTCGTCATTCAACCAAAACGCAATAGATGGTTATCCATAATATTTTGTATCGTTCTATCGACGACATGTTGCAGCTTTTTGCTTGTTGGTCTTAATTATAACTAGAACAACGCTATAAGAGATAAAGGATACTAGGTGCACAAAACAACAATTTAGGGATCATGAAGCGGTCAAACAACGCACTGAATAACATGTTCATGATACACAGGAATATTCTCCAAGCAGATCGGTGGCAAGGCAGTGTCCTTTAGACAAAGGACAGCTCTTTAGCTTCGTTGGCCAATGGATATTGCCTTGCCATCTTAGGATCTGATTGGAAATCATAATCTATATCTCTCAACTGCTCGTATTTCCCCAGTCTGGAATCTACTTCGAGCTCCAGGGCACCATGCAGGATCGCTTTCTGCCGGAGTTCGAACTCAAAATTCGGGACGCTTTCGAACTGGCGGCTAACTTCACTGTGGGAGATTTGATCAATCCTGATCTTTTCAGAACTCGCAACCCCGATGATTTCACAGAGTAAGTTATGGCATACATAGCAAAATCACATTTACCTGTGGCTAATCATAAACTTTGAATATCTAATAACGACATTACATGCTTTTACGTTTCAATGAGTTGCATCGCAATATATTAGAAACCTTTTACTACTGACATACCCCGTTTGTATATTACAATTACACTATATCGTTTTTTAAAGGCACTCTATGTAGTTTTTTGCGCAAAAATTTGGAATATTCTGATTATACTGAATTTCAGTGTTATTAACAGTTACTATCACTTTTCAACACATTTGTGTCATTATTTCACATTTTTACGTATATTTTGTCCGTTCAAACAGTCCTTGCTCAGTACCCGGTGCCACCGGTTTGCTCTGAGGACAACAACAACAACATACAGGGGTTGCCCCCTAGGGTGACTAATTGGCCCGGGCATGCCAGGCTTGATTGACAGGGGCACATGTGACAAGATATAGCCTCCTTAGAAAAACACTCATATCTTTCACATGAGGTGGAATATAATTATCAACTTGGCGTATTTTGTTGGGCATGAATAAACTGTGGTCATTATCCCTTCAAAAGAGATAAAAAATCTGGTAAACGGTTAGGTATTTCAGAAACTGGTAAGCTATCAACTGACACCCCACTGGGATGTAGGTCAAACCACTGGCAGTGGGCAATACCATATGTACGGTGTGGCCTGGTGTGGCCAGAGGTTGAATAGAAGATCATTCACAGTTTTCTAAGCTTATAAGGAGCAAAGATGTTGTATTTTTTGTTGCGGAGTATAATTTTGGAATACTAAAGGGTTAAGTCAATGTACTATGTAAAGAAAAGAATGAAAAATATACTTTTTGTATTGTCAAAAAACTACATAGAGTGGCTTTAAACTTTGTAGTTGGTATGAAAAGCTCATTGTTACAAACCCAAGTTTAAGCCTAGTGAAAGTAAGATACGTATGGGGGAAGGAAGGAATAATTCCCTTACCTTAAAAATCCAACTGGGTTTCTTTTTTTCAAGCTCTAATATCAGTAAACTGGAGGGAAATGTGTGTATGTTTGTCAAAAATTAAAATCACTCCAATTAAGAGATATGTTTTTTTCGTTTTAAACAGTATGGTCGTAAAATTAGAATTCACCGGTGTGAACTTTGCGAACCTGGTCGGCCAGCATTCCGTGTCCGAGAGCAGGCTTCATCCCGCACTAAAAACTGCACTGACCAACGCCGGCATATCCCAGCAGTACGTGGTATCCAGTAAGATGCTTGACAGAGGCCAGGTGGGTTGACCATTGGTTCCTTTCGATTGGATGGAGACCGTTGATAGACCATTGGGCGACTAAAATGTCACTTTGTAATGAGCACAGGACTTTTCGGACTTGCTAATTCAGAAGCGCATGAAATTGCCACGCTTCACTTTTATTTTCCAAGCAAACTAGAAAGCAACTCGTGCTGCTGCAATTAAATGTGCAAAGATTGAGTGTAATAAGTCGTTCGGTGGAATATACATAGCTAACAGTTACCGAGCCGCATGCCTGCGAAGCTGGTGTGTTTAATACGCCGAATATATAATAATACGCCAAAGGCCGATTATACCGGCTATACAGATACAGAAGCTGGTGTATTACGTCTAAGGGCAGTTATACCAGCAACACAGATACAGAAGCCGGTGTGTTACACCGAAGGGGGTTATACCGACTATACCAATACATATACAAATAGAGATTCCCTAACATTATTAAGTCCGGTACTGTTTGTAAAGTAAACATTGTCCAAATTTACCTTCACTTATTACCATTGGTAAATCCAACTTTCTTGCAGTGTGCAGGGCGCCCATTGCGTCCCCCGTCTCTAAACAAATATGTATTTACTTACAGGACTACATCGAGTTCTCTATATCAAAGGATGTCGACAGCAGCGACGACCTGGCAGTGGAAGTTCAGAAACTCGAGGATGCCCAAGCCCAAAACGGAGGAATACTGCTGAATCTAAAACCCGTAAGTCGTGAAACATTGTTGAAATTCCGATGCAGAAAGGACTGACCTAATTGTTTCTATTGCAATTGATGGGAGAGATGTTTGTATTCACAGAAACTTGATTTTGTAATTATACATTTGTAATAAGTACATATCAATTCATATTTGCTGCTACCTAGTTAATAGCCTGTAGGAAATTGTATCAACACGCTCATCAATAAAATAGTACGAACCGACTATGAAACCATAAGTAGTCGGCTATAAGATGAATATTTTTACCATGAAAGTATATCTGTGTTAGCACAGGTCATTGTTAATTAAAGACTCAACTTTTTCTTCCAACACTGGAATGGCTTGTGACTTAATACACATTTTTGACTGACTCCTGAATTTGGGGTCACAAGTCACAAGTCATTTCAGTGTTGGATGAAAAGTTAAGTCTTTAATTCATAATGAATACATTTTAGAACCAGGTATGGCCCGGCAAAAGCACTGGTGTCAGCGCAAGAGGGACCTTTGACAGTATCTGTGTGCCATCGAGCACGCCACCCTCTACCCCCACTACAACAACTACCTACGGTACAGCACCAAACAACGGCATTACAACAGGTGGCCAAAATATAGCTCCAATACTAGCCTTACCAACGAGCAACCCCGGCGGCCAAGGGCCAGGCGGTATCAACAACAACGGTGGCGGCATTATTCTGCCGGTATGAGTTTAATATTTATTGCCGATGTAAGTAACATGCGAACATTGATCTAGTTGAGCTTACATTTTTGCATAACTTGCTTTCAAAATAAACAGGTGCAACAGCATGTTGCTGTCGACAGGTTAGGTCTTTTACACTAAACCTCATTGTCCGTGTATATATTCCTAAGATTAGAAAATGGTTATTTAGGCAACCGCATCCAGTTGCTCGAGTAACAGTTTTCTTGAGTATGCCATCATTACCTTGATGTCTAACATTTATCGACGCCCTACAAACGCTCTTTGCTTGACGCAGGGACCGGGTGTAGTTGGGTTTTTACCGGAAGGCTGCTGTGTCTGCCCAGCAAACCAATCTGTGGAAAGCATCCCTCTTACGGTAAGCCTCCTAGATCCTCAGCCTGTTTCGAAACGGAGACTTTTGATCGTTCGATACAAATTGTTGGTTTCTTTATCTTATTTTACTGGTATGGCAAAAATGTGCAGTAAAGGTCGTCATTCATAATGTTATGCTACCTCACTCAAAATCAGATATCTTTAATATGCTCCTTTCATGCCCTACTCAGATATCAGTGTATGTTGGAAAATTCATTTCTGAATCAATTCAAAAGCGACACCATATTGTAAATAGCTGATATATCACCTGAATTATAGAATGTAATAATACTCTTCCTAAGAAAACACAATAGATTATGGACTAGCTCGTTAGAATTATACTTTAATATTAGATTGTGTATGTACCCTTGCTTCTTCTTTGCCATACATTGTACCAGTTACAGTTGTTGAGCAATAAAGATGATTTGATTTGATTTGATACATTACAACAGTATGATCCCGAGGCGGCTACAGGACAGCTGTCCTCCACAGACAAGGTAGGGATGGGTGTGGGCATCCCGGTGGCCCTGGCGGCGCTGGCCGGACTCGGGGCGCTGCTCATGTTCTTCCTGAAGAGGAAGACGGACCGCCCGCCCACTCCCATCCGCAAGAACGTCGTCTCGCCGGTCGTGGAGTCTTTCGAGACCAACATCTACAGCGTAAGTAGAATGAAAGAATGAGTGAATGAATGAAAGAATGAATGAATGGATGGATGAATGAATGAATGAATCGCCCGCCCACTCCCATCCGTAAGAACGTCGTCTCGCCGGTCGTGGAGTCTTTCGAGACCAACATCTACAGCGTATGTAGAATTAATGAATGAAGGAAGGAGGGAATGAGTGAGTGATAAAATGAACGGACAACGTACGTGTGATGAATGAAGGAAAGAAAGGAACAATTCAGGCAACATGCAGCGTAAGTAGAATGAAAGAAAGAATGAATGAATAAGAGTGATTAAAAGTAAAACGTATTATTAAGTAGAATTAATGAAGAATTAGAATATAAGAAATAAGTGAATGAATGAATGAATGAATGAATGAATGAATGAATGACGAAGTTATCAGATGAAGAAACCTTTTACTCAAACAGATGGCAGTGATACTACTACGCGGGAGTATGCAAACAGAAACCAAACTGTTTAATTGCTCTACTATCAATGATCAAATGTTTATTTTTCAATAGCTTTATCTAATCACTTAAAAGTCTCCAAACACCGTGGCTTATGAGGAGCAAACTCTGTTTTTATCGACGTATCTCAAATCTTCTTCCTTAACTTTATCTTATCTTAAAGATAGAAGGGACAAGCAATCTTTACTTTTAACGACGTATCTCTATTTTTTCATCCATGCGTTTATCTATTGTTTTCAAATCTCTGCGTTTATTCCAGGCTTCCATGGACGACGAGCTGAGTTACCAGTTCGGTAAGAAGGGCGCGGAGCTGCACCGGTTCCGGGACCCTAACGCCGTGTACGGGCGGCTGTCCACTGCCTCCTGGTCCCCGTACCCGAGCACGGCGAGTTCCTCATCCACCATGGAGAGCTCTCTCTCAACACCTGATGTCTATTAGATAAGTAGATACATCTACTCAAGCGTTATCAAGCTCTGTAAAATCTATGAATATGCAAAACTACCATATGTTTGCATTAAAACATATTGTTATATGTTATGCCTCTGTAATCGTAATAATTCAAAATCCTTCGCCTTCAAATCTCTATTTCCCGTTTTTTGTTTTGAATAATTTGCCTTAATGTTTGCTGTCTATATCTAGAACCGTATGTAGGCAAGTGGGTTGACACTGTAAACACTGTAGTATGGCGTGCTTGAACAGTATTATGTATACACTTCGCAAGTTAGTTTCCATTCATATATACCTCCACTAGTTTCTAACGTCTGTAACATCCACGTTTCTCTGTGTAAGATGGCACGCTAGTTATGATTATTTCCACGTGTTTCTGCTGCATTTTCAAAATTACTATTAACAAATTAAGCTTGATTGGCCCTTTGAACCAAATTTTGTTCGCATCTATCCTGTACCAATTAGCTTGTGTGAGTTCCTTGTTTGTTTAAGGCTTTGTTTATTTCTGAAAAAGTAAAATCTACTTTGTTGTCGCTTTTCTGGTCATGAGAGACGAGGTATAGGCCTGGCAAAATACAAATGAACAAGAGTTCCACGATCTCATACCTTCGCCAAATGATGTTAACCCTTGCGGGTGACGAATTATACAATTTTAATCATTGATTTTGTAAATAAGAGCCTCATTTGCATGGATTATATCAGTTGATCATATTCTCCATCCAATGACAGCCTTATCATAACAAAAAGGCTATTATAGCACTTCCTCATAAATTATGCAAATGAGGTCATGATTTGAATAAATTATGTTTATTGATGTTCACCTTCACTTAACTTTCAAATGGGGCAAGTATGAAATTCGGGGTGCAGCAGTTATAACTATGGAATTATAAGAATTTGACATTAATTATGCAAATTAGGTCCTCATTTACATAATCTATATCCTCAGATGTTTTTCTCGTTCTCAAGTAGATGTCACAAGTGTTTCATAGTTCTATTATCGAACAAAGCAGATTTATAGAATTTCCTCATTGATTATGCAAATTAGCTCCTGATTTGCATAATTGCCATCTGATTATGTAAAGCATCACTTCAACTACCTACATACAAAAAATCACGACAATACGTCAACCGGTTCTTGAGTTATCGTCCTTCAATTTTTTTTCAACAAATGCTCCTGCAGTTCCAGAACAAGGCGCTAGGGGACCCAAACTCATGTCACTTCTTCCCTACCCCAAGAGCTATCTACCATTTAAAATTCGTGACCCTAGCATGTCCAGAACATGAGATATCAAAACCGGAAGTTCAGCTGCAGTACCTAGGAAAGCCGCCAGGGGGCCCAAAATCTAATCATTTCTAGGTCTCATGAAGACCTACCGACCTACCAAGTTTCATTCCAATCCATCCACTGCTTCTTGAGTTATCTTGCTAAACCACACACACACAAACACACACACCCACACACACACAGACAAACGCTACTGAAAACATAACCTTCTTGGCGAAGGTAATAAAGTTGAAATCAATAAATATATAGTCGTAATATATTCATAGACATATTCTTACACAGACATGTAAAGTACTATGTTGGTTTGAAAACAGGCTACCAAATTCCAATCGTTTTATCCCTGACATAAAGAAAAAGTATAAATTCCAATTATTTCAAGAATGTTCCTTCTGATTTTCTGATTAACAGGGAAGGACAAAATATACGTATATATCAGTTATGTATTTGTTTTGTAGAAGTTATGTTTATAAACAGTCTTGTAGTAAGGCCGCTTTAGGTTTTACATGTCTTCTTACTTACTTTTTCCGTAATGAATTTAAATGAGTTAAACGCTCTATTGTATTGCTGCGTAGATAAAGTTATGTTAAGAGCATTTTGGATAGACCAGAGGGTCGGGTGTGTTGCAATTCTACTCCATGACGTGGTGTGGCGTTTGACGTATTTGGACTGTACTATAGTACAAAACTGTACGAGTAACCTCCAAATAAACGTGTGTGCTTTCTAGACTAGTATACTTCCGTGTCGTCCCTTATATTATTGTCTGAACGGTTGTATGTCTGGAGTCAATTAGAAAACAGAGTCTCTGAAGTTGTTCTTTTATAACAGGAGGAGGTGGTGGCGATTAAACCTTCACCTTTAACTATCGGATAACTTCTTTTGAGGCCTTCATTTAAAATAGCTTAAAGAAACAGACTACACATCAAACAGATGGATTATGTTAGGTATATAGAGCGTTTGCCTTTTGTAGAGTTTGATGTGGATAGAGTGTAACATACAACTTTCTACTAAGGTATTTCTTTGTACACTTGATAGACAACAACCTACTGACCGTACGCACGCTTTGGCATGTACGAGATATCTTTTTAATTAAAGATAACAAATTATTGCCTCCCTAATCAAACTCGAGAGCCTAAATTGGCACCATTTGTTTCACCTGCGTGTCATGTATCCATTTGTAAATAATTATCCGTATATAAATCACACATTTCCGTTATGAGAGCCGCGAGTGTCAACATTAATCTTCTCTCCAGCTGCGCACACTTCAAACCCGGGCGGCGAGCGGCTGTTTGCCAACGTCAGGTGATTTTGTTTAATATTTGACCGTTGATTGCACTCCGTGACTCTGATTATGGCCAAGTTATGAAGCGTCACAATTCCACATGTCGAAAACAATGCTTTGGTTAATCCCAACGCCCTTGGCTTTATATTCTAAAACGTGCGATGGTGCAAAACAACACAATCTCCCAAAACAATAAGTTGTCAGATTCGTTCGACAGACGAACCTTCAGGCCGAGCCTGTCTTTGATGAATTTCTGCTGACAGATTGTACAGTCCTTGGTTACTTTCTTGACCACTTAGCTATTGCAGGTCGGACCATAATGGTGCAGGTCAGATCAAAAGTCATTAGTCGTCCTGAATGCATATAAGTTGTTGTTGTCGACTTAATACCAGGATCGCACTGTTTCCTGTTGTGTTATTTTCTCGAAAGAAGAGCTGATACCTAGGTTACAAGAACGAAGACGGCTCGTTGTCTTTGTGAACCCATGTGTCCTGACAGTGGAGGACTGCGTGGGCCTGTGATGCCGACCAAAGCGGTCCTGTTAGTGTTCCTAGCGGCGCTATGGAGTCCCTCCCTCGGGGATCTGTCCACCGCTCCCATCACCACCGACTGGATCCCCAGGGTCAGCCGCAAGATGACGACTTTCGCCGAGTCCCAAACCGGCGCGCTACAACTGGTCCAGGAATATGACGACAAACTCAGCTTCTCACAGACTCAGGTAAGTTCTTCAACTTTTAAAACTCTATTAGCGATGTAGATATTCCACTTCCATCAGTATTCCAAACTTTCTTTGTATATACTGACCTGATAAATATGACCAGGCAATTTACCTCAGTAGTTTGACGGTTTATTTATCCAATTAAATAGAGACTGACTAACGAACAATGTTCCTCTTTACCTTTTCTACGATTGAACCTGAATGGCTTTTTTTCTCTTTGGTTTTCAGAGAACATCTATAATCATTTTGAATTTGAATTTTATATTACGTGGTTGATGCATGTGACAATTCCCTGTTATGTGGCGTCAATAATACTGTCTTTGAATACAGTTTGATTGACGGTTAGCTAATAAAACAACCCTGACCTCTTGTGTTGAACAGTGTAGGCACCCTTCATAGGTTCCCAAGACTCGCTGCCATATAGACTTCTCGTGATAGACAACAGATATTTCTAGTACAATTTCGCTATTGCTTTTACCAACTATATACCTTTAACGACCAAAATACCTTCATATTATTTTGCGTTGGTGCGTGTATTTTGTTGGGAGGAAAAATGGCATGTTTTTTTGCCATTTCTTTTCCTATATCTCCCTCTCTAATGTTTGTCATGTTTAATGTAAATATACTCTCTTGAAGATGGGCAAGGATTCCGAATTTCATTTACCTCATGTCGCGTCAAGCGTTTATTGTCAAAACTACCATTCCTTTCTGTCATTTCGTCCGTAGAATTCTACTTAAAATCTGTAGATATTTACTATCACAAAACGTGCAGTTGTATCTTATCTAACGCTAAGAAGTACCATTTGAACAGCATCAGGAACTATGTTTGCTTGTCAATCAGCGTTGCCCCAGTAACGGGGACGACATTAGACAGATGGCCACTGAGAGTAGATCAGATTCAAAGAAAACAACATTATATAGACCTGGTTACTATTACAAACGACATCAACAATTCACAAAAATGCACAAATTGGACGGTCTGTTAATCTAGTTCACGTGACTTCGATATGAGCACTGCGTTTCGTCTGCTGTGTAAAATCTATGCTGTGCTTATCTAGAACAAATATTCTTCTCTCATCAACCGACTACAATTCGCCGAATTGCTATTGGAAGAAATCCTATACGAACTGATCGAGGAAGATATCAAGGCATCTTAGAATTGATGAAAAGATAACAATCCCCTCTGTCTAAAAAAAGCGTGAACAAAGGTGATTAGGTTGAAGGTTACTGTGGTTTCCTAGGTGATGATAATCTAAAAGTTTTAGGAATCAAAGTATGCTCATACAGAAAGATACAAACAGCATAGTTTCCTATTTTGTGTTTGTAAAGTGAAGGACTTTTAAGTAAAGGGTCAAGGACCGACACATGTACTTTAAGTTCTAGAAAGGAATCCACAAGCCAAAGTCTTAATTTACTTTTAAATGACCAAAAAATTGAACAAAAAGACTCAGGGAACAAGTGGATTTCGATGCATTTGTAAGTATTAATAATAATAGGGAAAAGACCTGCAATTTAGAGACACCAATTTGATGTCCTACTTCCTGTGTTCTGTGTGTATAGCCCTAGCTGGCGGTGAATTTTTTTCCTCTTAAAAAACGCAAAAGTCCGTAAATAAGTCGCACCGGCGAAACTTAGCAACAAGATATTTCGGGCCTTGGCAAGGTACTCTTGAAATGACCTTTATACTAGCTGTCAAATGTTTCTCGCATCTCCTAATGTTATTGCATCCGAGGATAAAATAGCTTTGCAGCGTTGCTCTGTCGCTATTGATACGTCGAGATCAATATATATGCGTAAGCAAATAAAACCTTGACAACACATAAATGAGTTGACCAACTCGGACCCACTACGTGACATTAACGTGAAAAATCGTGCTTATTTTGTTCGAAAACAGATTCCTTATATTACCTTAGTTAGATTTAATAATCCTTTTTACTGATTGTTGTGCATTTGTACGTGCACAGTTAACAAAAAGGCTTTAAGCTTTATATGTCAATCAACAGATAAAATGATTAAGAGTTACACAATATTCTTTTATACCTTCTGATCCGTGCATCTTTAGTGATTAAGAGAAAAGGCTGGTTTTGTACTGCGTTGCTTGGTATACAACACACACTGTACAAAGGATGTTCGTCTTGCAAACCTGTTTACGGGGAGGCCCTCTGACATGTTTAATTACGCACCTTGTGTTACCTACTGAGCCCCACAAATACAGACGTACACACCACGAGACCATTCTACCGCTTTGTCTAAAAGCTTTAAATCTAACACGATGTTAAGTCTAACTAATAGTTACTTCCCCGACCACACGCACATACAAATTAAAGCATATCTTTTAAATAGTTTGTAAAGGGGACAAACACGTCCATCAAATCACTGTTTTTCCTGTTGAAAGACAGTGATAAGAAAATCCTGATAAAGGCTTCGTTAAACAAGTCTTGATATAATTGTCAAAACTAAGATAGAACTTTTGCTGTTATTCCGACCAATGACACTTTACTACCGTAACGGCAACCAATCTTGTGTACGAGTATATTAGTGTATTTCTGCCCTAGTTTGGTACATATACGGTATCCGTTTTGCTAATTTGTCATACATCACATATGTATATGTTTAGATTGATTGTTCTTTATACATTATGATCCTCAATGGATGTATATCCATTGGGCAAGCATTTACGCGTACATACGCTAACGTTGTCGTAAACCTTTTGTAAGATGATGCTGAGTATAGAATGTACTGGTGACACACAACAACAAGTTTTAGCCATCCTTTAAATGTAGCTTGTCCTCTTAATCATTTAAGATGTGTTGATCTGGTTTAGGGTATAACAAGCTTTTGTTATGCTTCCGTCCTTTATACTTCAATGGTAACATAGATCCTTTATGTTCCTCTGTATGTACCAACACGCAGTGCTTTACAGAAGTAGTTGCTTGAATCTAAGTATGTTAATGTAGTGAAACTGCCTTAAAAGCACAAAATAAGTGCGGAGTTCTACATTAGTGTCACGTCGGAGTGCCCTATTTGATCAGCTGATTTCTGTGTTACCAGGGTCTTGTTTGCTTAAGCAAACAGCCATACCTCTGGGCGACGCAGTCTCAATGACGACACAACAACGCCGCAAGGCTTTTTTATCCTCGGATTTAATAACACTACGAGATTTGAGAAACATTTGACAGCTAGTATAAAGGTCATTTTAAGAACACCTTATTCTCTAAGATATGTGGCACGCAATGAGTCATGTTTGGACCCAGATGTTAAGCAAAACAATTGTTCTTCACCCTAGTACAAAAACAGAACAGGCAAAGTATGTTGTTTATGCCTTTCTTGAATTGAATACTGTAATTGCTACCACTTAAAGCCTTGTAGCACCATGGCCACACATTGAGCAGCAAAACCAGACTCCTTTTGTCTGAACTATTTCTTAAAATCTTCTGATTAGTTTGCAGAAGTCTGAGTGTTTGCAAATACGAGCTCGAGAGACAAAGTTTAGTTGGTCGGTAGGGCACAATTTGTTCTAGATAAGAACCCAGACGGAGACACGGCTGTACAATTTAGGAACGCTGTGCTCATAAAAAAGCATATATCAAATATCTATCATGTGAAGTACAGGTATATTGTGCCTTAGCTTACACTCTTCACAGCAATGTCGTATTACGTAAATTACTTCAATGACCAATTAATGGCAGATACATTGTAATTGTCAAAATCAAACGCATCTTTTAAGTAAAATAATCACTTTTAAACGTGTTCAAAGCCATGAGAAGGTTACAAAGTCAAAATTTTAGGCTACATATATTATTAGAATAACTAAAATGAAGAAATAATGTTTAACGGCCATTGTATTTTCCAGAATACGGACGCGTATTTGATTTGACAGAAAATTACACAACCGACTTTCTATACATTTGGTTGTTATTATGTATTTAAGTAGTGAAAATTTCTTTACCAATTTTCGGTAAGAAGATTAATCGATAAAACGCCTGTTATCAGGAGTTTGTTATTTTGTTATCAACTACTTGAAATTACAGCATTATCAATCATAGTGTAATTGACTTGTTTGTCCGGAAATACAATCTGTATATGTTTATATTCAAATTTACTTCAAACATGTTTTCAGGCAGTAGGTAATATGTTGCGTTTAAAGTCAATCGTGGATTTAAATCGCAGGTTGACTCATTGTTGGTGCCATACAGAAAGTACAAGCCAGGTTCATAGCCTTGTTTTTATTATTCACAAAGTACAAGGCATGACAATACATGTTACTGTGCTGCTAAGTTATACAGAGTACAAGGCATGACGATACATGTTATTGTGCTGCTACTATACACAACGTACAAGGCATAACGATAGATGTTACTGTGCTACTACGTTACACAAAGTACAACGCATGACGATAGATGTTACTGTGCTGCTAAGTTATACAGAGTACAAGGCATGACGATACATGTTATTGTGCTGCTACTATACATAAAGTACAAGGCATGAGAATACATGTTACTGTGCTGCTACTATACACAAGGTACAAAACATGACGATAGATGTTATTGTGCTGCTACTATACACAAAGTACAAGGCATGTCGATAGATGTTCTTGTGCTGCTACTATACATAAAGTACAAGGCATGACAATACATGTTACTGTGCTGCTACTATACACAAAGTACAAGGTATGACAATACATGTTACTTTGCTGCTACGTTACACAAAGTACAAGACATGGCAATACATTTTATTGTGCTTCTACTATGCACAAAGTACAAGGCATGCCAATACATGTTACTGCGCCGCTACTATACACAAAGTACAAGACATGACAATACATGTTATTGTGCTGCTACTATACACAACGTACAAGGTATGACAATACATGTTACTATGCTGCTACTACACACAAAATACAAGGCATGGCAATACATGTTACTGCGCCGCTACTATACACAAAGTACAAGGCATGCCAATACATGTTACTGTGCTGCTACTATACACAAAGTACAAGGCATGCCAATACATGTTACTGTGCTGCTACTATACACAAAGTACAAGGCATGCCAATACATGTTACTGTGCTGCTACTATACACAAAGTACAAGGCATGACAATACATGTTACTGTGCTGCTACAATACATAAAGTACAAGGCATGACAATACATGTTACTGTGCTGCTACTATACACAAGGTACAAGACAAGACTCTAAATAATTATGTTGTTACCATACATAAGATGCAGGTATCCCCGTAAATTAACCTACTGTTACAATACACAAAGTGCAAAACAGTCGTGGACTGTAGTGCAAGACTGTACTATAATAAAACGTTATTACATATAAACTGCAAGAGACAAAGACCACATTTAAAAAAAACGTGTTGGTTGAAATACAAACATGACAAAACTGTCGTTTTACTTTGAGCTACTATATGCAGAGTGCAAGGAAGTAAACTGACTAAACTTGTTACTGTTATACATAAGATGCGAGCGAGCCTGATTATTTAGTTATTCATGTACTTAATTTCAAAAATTAATAATTGATTAACTATATACATATTTATGTTGCGTTCTTGCTTTTTGTATATAGTAGTAACGTTTTATATATATAGTAGGACCGACTCCTTCTTGCACTTTGTGTATAGTAGCAACATGATGAATAGTAAAGCGACTGAGAAAGAGTGATTGTGTGAGTGAGTAGGTGTGTGAGTGTATGTGTGTGAGTGAGTAGGTGTGTGAGTGATTGAGTGAGTGAGAGAGAGAGAGTGTGAGTGATTTGGATACTTCGTATAATTGTTTGATCTTACAGATCGACGGCCAGGCACAGCTAAATCTGCTGACGCAGGCTGCAGGAGACCGTCTGAAGAAGTGCCGGGAGATCCTGCACAGGAACAAGGCTGAGATAGAAGCCTCTCATGCACAGGGCCCGGCAGGAGGCGCTTCTGCCTCGGACTGCTGCGACAACCTCGGCCAGCTGGAGTACGACCCGAGGTTCCTGCAGCAGATCGTCAACGACACATGCGCTACATTTACTGCAGGTACTCGAAGCTGAAAAGAAATCGCTATGCTTGATGCAGCACCATGTATTGTTCTCTTCCTCTCTCTCTCTCTGTCTTTCTTCTGTTCTGGACGGGATGACGGGATGACATGAATTGCATCACAAAGCAGTTTAACCCAAAAAGGAATGGCTGTGTTACGTTGTCTTATTCTCTTTGTGACTCAAGCTGACGCCGAAGCTTATGTTGATCGTCACATTCCCTTGCCTAGTTGCCGGTGCGACAAATACAATCCGCCCGCACGTCTACAACATCATGAAGTCCAACTCACACGAGATGTCCGGGGTGACCTGGCAGTATTATGGTGCCAAAGAGGGCGAGTATCACCAGTTCCCCAAGAACGACAGGTTTTGTAATGAAAGCGCCCACATATTCAGGTACGGAAATATTTTTCCAGTAAACATTCTTCACACCAATACAATTCTCTAGAAGTAAAATGTAGGTGTGTTCATACATATTATTAAAATTTATTTAAATCATGATTTCAAGGACAACTTGTACATGGCAATCTTCCCTGCTTATTCCCCTCTAAAATACTAGAAACTGGTACGTCAGCGCCGCGTCGCCCAAGAAAAAGAATGTTGTGATCGTCATAGATATCAGTGGGTCCATGAATACTGCACATAGGATTGACCTGGCCAAACAAGCAGCTTTGACGGTCCTTGATACTCTAACAGCGAGGGACTGGGTGAGTCTGTAGTAAACGCTGGTACATGTGGATTGGTACGGGTGGATTGATAATGGCAGGAATTTTCATCTCTCCGTGGATACAATGATGGGAAATCGCGACTGTTCAAATACGTACACAGCGGGCTGAATTAATGGCGTCTTCTTGAAATCTTAATTTTCCTAAAAAAAAAGAGGTCAAATGGGGTTGAAAATCTGCATCAGTTGTACCCAGCCACTTGTATAGAGTATAGTGGATTTCTTAAGCTAACCGAAATCTTTCACAACGCCGTCGTGCTGCATCAAGATAGTTAATTCCAGCTGGTTGGGTTGATATGTATGGTGTCATGGATTCATTTTCACTGGCAACATAAGTTGATATTGTATGACGCACACTTTTCAGGCAGGAAAACCACATTAATGACGTCATATTATGTCAAAATGACACTAAAGTTAGTGTAATGATTTTACTCCACGGGTATATCACCCTTTAAACATTTGGTGTTCAAACCATTTGTAGTTTAGGAGTTACGTATACAGAGGCCGGCCTCGTTGTTTTGTACAATATACATTGTTCAATCGCCAAGGGTACCGGTAGCCCTTTGTAACAATTCGGCTAGTTGAGAAGCCCTGTCTCTATGTCTTTATACCTAATTCGATGTATTCAAGTTGAGATACAAATAAATCAAATGATTTCAATCTGTATCAGGTAGGAGTGGTGTCCTTTAGTAACGAAGCAGAAACACCACATGGCTGTTTAGGAGACAGTCTGGGAGAAGCTAACCCTGGTAACATCGAGATCATGCGGGATTTCATCAACAACCTTCGCCCTTTTTGTGAGTACAGTTTTTTGATGAAAATCTTGGTAGTTTGAGCAATGGTGGACCCAAGCATTGTACTATTATCATTTTTTAAACCTTGATCAAGAAGGTAGGTATATTATATATGGGGGTTGTAGATTTTTTAAATCCTATATAATTCGAAGGTCAAGGTCAATTAAAGGTAATCTAATCTAAACTTGGCACGAAAAGTGTGGAATATCCAACTTCATTCGATCATATTTCAGCTGTTTCTGTATCAATTAAAGCATTATATATTATTGAAACGCTTGTGTAATTTCCGTTCCTATGAACCAAACTCATTGTTATCGTAAACCCATGGAACGAATGTAGTGCATCTATAATTTGTTATACTGTTTGCTTATTTATTTATCATTTGATTCAGTGGCAACGTACTACAGCAAGGCATTCGAAAAAGCATTTGACATATTCCACGATGCCAAGCAAAAGAAGCCGGTGAGTAACTTATTTTGATACAAAGTTCTCTTTTGAAGAGATAAAGTTGTGTTATAGGCCTCACAGACCACCACCTATCCAATTTTGTTGAAAATATAGTATCTGCCTATATTTCGATGTTCTAAATATATTTTATTAAACCTCCCATCGCAAAAATTATAATCAATTATGATGATTTAACCACTTATATTAATTAACTATGTAATTTTGTACTCATGTGCCTCGAGCTGCCCCTTGAACACTTGAAAAGCGGCCGCGGCTGATAGTGTAACTGATCAAGGTTAAAGAAAGGTCGAAGACTCGTGCTTTAACATGGACAAAAAATACGTACATTATGGTACATTAAATACAGCACTCTTGCAAGACATATTCGTTGTATAGACTCTTCAAAGTCACTCGAATGTTTGTGTAGAATGAAGTTCGGTCTTATTAAATATTTCTGGAGCTGTATTTCTATTTCTTTGTATTATTCAAATTTAGTTGCAGCACGATGGTGCTGAACTATAAATTTGGATTTGTATCTTGGCAGGAACAATTTTATGACAGCGACAACGTCATAATCTTCCTGACAGACGGACAGCCTTCAGACCCAAAGAATGTTCTGGACCAGATCACTGAGGGCCAAAGTCGCATGGTGAGAAATAAACATTATTAGACGGCAATTCCATGCTCAGGGTATTTTCAGGTGTCCATAACTGTAAAAAAATTTATCTAAAACAGCCTTTTTCTCAGAAAACTAGTATGTCATGCATGTCGGTATTTTCCTTGTTTCCTATCGCATGAACCTTGCAGGACCGGACTGTACACATCTTCACCTACGGTCTTGGCGACGATCTCGTAGACGCCTACAGTGGCTGGTGCCCTGATCCCAGTGATAGGCAGTGTACAAGCTTTTTTGTCCCAGATATATTGGCAGGTTTCCTTCAAAATACAAACAGCATGAAGGCTTTGAAATTCCTGGCTACCATCGCAGATCAGAACAACATACAGGTCCCGGACGCAGTGACGTGGACGGTTAGTAACATTTGTTTAACATTAACACTAATGCGGCATTTGCTTCACTGTGTGGGTTCATGTTATAAGAGATACCAAAATCAACATTGGATGATATTATTAATCTATTTGTATTATTCCCCGTGCCAAACCCCCTCCCCCCCCAACTGGACCTCTGAGAAGAGCGGTCAAATTGTTAGGACGACAGGGCTGTCCTGTATAAACAGATGATTTTAATTCATCTATTTATGATAGTATCATATAATCAACATAGGCAAATATACCCTGATGTTATCAAACATAAAAAGTATTTTTTCAAAGTAAGCAATTATTCTCACATTCTTTTTCTTCTTTCTCTAAACTCAACTTTCTAACCACAACCTATTTTTTGTACAAGGTCTTTGTGTTTCGTATTGGTCACTTTTGTCATTGGGTTGGGTGGGGCATACTGTTATACTACTTAATCTGTATTTCTGTATTTTTTTTATTTTGTTTATTTAAGTATAATCTGCGTTAAATTTTCTTCTTTGTTGTTTCTGTTAGTGGTGGCGTTGATAAGTTTTTTTTTTAATTCAACCTGCGCCACCACGTTGCATTTGTTTTTGTCGTAGGGAAATAAATAAAAAATTAGCTGACAAAATTGTAGCCTCTTGCAATCTGCATACAAACCCCAAAGACACTTTGTAATTACGTTGTACAAATTCCCTGACTTAGAACGAAGACTGCAGACAAAGCACATATGGCCCGTGCTTTGCCTCTGGCAGGGACCCGCAGGGAGTCGGTCCATATGGCAGAACTGATAACGTAGGTGAGTATTCAAATCTCTAACAGCGAAGTGTTTATAGAACTACTAGTATCTCCACCAGGACATCGGGACCTATCAATTTAGTATCGTTAGCTAAGCTAGGGACACGAACACTATAAGAATATGAAGATTGCAGGAATTGTATATCAAATATAGATATCAAATCTCATTGCTTCCCGCATCCCTTTTACCCTAATTAGATGGGGGGGGGGCTAAAACCGACTAAAAACCTAGTCTAGATTTGGATTAAATGTGTTCTGATTGGTACTGATACGGACTAAAATGTCATTTGTTCTAAAACATAAAGGTGACGGCCAGGGAGAGAAGCTAACGGCAATGATGGGAAGCTACTACGACTTCTTCCAGTCGGAGCCAGAGCCAAAATTTTCTGTCCCGACCAAGGATGAACATCTTGGTTAGTATAGCCAGCTAAATACCTACTACTATATCAATGGTGTCTTATATTACTATACCAATGGCCCTTGAATATTGTCTTCTGGTATAGTTATTTGGGATGCAACGATTATACTCTAGCCAATACATTACTGGGACAGGCGATTTTAGTAACATAAGAATGTCTTCACCGAGAATAGAACGACCTGGCCGGTCGTGTGCATGTCCGCAGCCGCCTTACTTGAGTTCCCGGTGGTCGATTGATTGATTGACGCAAATTTTCAATTTTCGAATCTAAATCATCAACTTCGTTTATCTACCGTTGTATTGTTTTCTTTGCAGGGTTAACAATAACGGGTGCTATCCGTACCGCTGACTCGAATGGTGTGTTCTTCGGCGTCACGGCTGTTGACATCTCCATGGACATTGTGTTTAACGAGATTGTCAACTTTAACCTCGGCTTGTACTCCCACGCCTTCCTGGTGGACAGAGAAGGTAAGATCGTACCTGAAAAATTATTTCTACAGGTGTTTCAAACCTGCCTAAACTCAACGTGTAAAATCATTTTTAACGAACCGTCACTAACTGATTGATATACAGAAAAATACATTTCTTGTTCCTCGGCTTTTTGACAGACGGTCGAGTCCTCCTCCACCGAGACCTCCCTAAACCCATGGAGTGGCCGACAGATCCGACTTTTCTCCATCTGAATGCGATGAAGGGAGAGCTGCCGGATGATGAAGTCACTAAGATCTTGAATGGGGAGAGTGGAAGCTGCTATGTCAACGATGTAATCGATTACAACATTATCCTTCATGGAGCATAAATATTAAGAACAACTGTGCATTTCAAAATTTTAATAAGGTTACCTTGCTGTTCTATAACATATAAAGAGTAGGCAAAAGGAGTGTTTAAATGAGGACTTGTAGCATCTGTTATCAAGGGAGAAAGGTAAATCAATAAATAAATCGTGAAGAAAATCAACTTTCTAACACCACAGGTGAAAGTTCCAGTTACTCGCGGAGACGCCCAGTTTGACGGCGTTTTCACGTTAGTAAAGCCGGCAAACTTCTACTACGAGTCGATTCCAGACTCCAAGTACAGCGTCGTGCTCTGTCTGTTTGAGGAGGATAGAACCATCACTGTTCCAAACCAGGTAGGTGGTTGACAGGTTAAATGTATGGACATCATGTCCTTGCCTAACCAATGTAATTTTGTTTGGCATTGGCAAACGTATGACATCTAATTTATCATAATAATGTAATACCGTTCTTACACTCTGTAGGTGAATCCAGAGAACGTTACAGAGTCAGTGTTTCACCAGCTGGACCCGGCCATGAACACAGACGTCTGCAGAATGTATAACAACTACGCCACTCAGGACGGATCTACTGTCATGGTAAGGCAGCGACATACCTTGTCTGTCAGTGCAGTATGATCACTTTGATGTATAACCTTCAACTGTTATTCCAACCATATTAGAAATACAAAATAAATCATGTAACTGGATTCTCTGTTATGTCAGACGCGCAGATGGCAAGTGATATTTCTAATCTATGAATGACTCTAAAACCTGTAACCTGTAAATAATCATAAGAACCGTCCCCTCAAGGATTTCTACTGATCCAGGTGTGAGGAGCTTTAATAAGTGCCAGCCAGCCATTCTAGGAAAGATACAAACAATCCTGCAGGGCAAGAGAGAGTGGCTATAACCGTATAATACCACTTAATGCTCTCCATCTTAAATCTGCACTCTGCTTCCTTAGTTTCCACCATATGCCTACACTGACCCAGTCGGCTACCTGAGCAGCGTGGAGACAGCTGTGGACGTTGCGAACATCGAACAATTTCTCAATGACGTTACTGGATCTGTGGACAATCCAGGTAAGTACCTAAAATGCATTAAATATGTAAATATAGATATATAAAGGCCATGTCAGTTTAATGCCTTAAAGTGCAATGACAATATGCGTAGAAGTGACCAAGAAAATCTGATGCATCTGACGAACTACCAGTAAAAATATGGCAATATATGAGGATACAAGTATATATCTGTATACAATTCGAATTTCTTATGAGTATGATACGCATGTATGCTGATAATTCTTGAAAAAAAATCACATAATACACCCAGGACTGGTAGAAGGTGTCCGAACTGATGTGGTCCTGACGGCTGCAATTGAGCAGTACTGGAGGCAGAATGCTTCAGACTCAGTATGGAGGTAATCTATATTTTTTTCAAAATCTGACCATTAGCAATAGTACAATATAGCTTTATGTAATTCTGTAGCAGAATGAAATCATTTAAAATAATGCTTTCCTTTTAATCATCTTCCGACAGATACGTGGGCACCAGAAACGGGATGTTCAGAATCTTCCCTGGAATCGCCGTGGACAGGCGGTATGACCCAACCCAACAGGGATGGTGAGATATAATGCCATTTAGTAGTTTAGGGGGGTCAACGTGGGGTGAAACCACCGTGTGAGGTTAGAATTCCATTTTCGTCTCTTTCTTCTCATTCCAACCCTTCTTACTTCCTTTGGTGGAAATAACCACGTAGATTTGGTTATGGACGTAAGTCCCGTTTTTACAGGACGGGTGAGGGAATCGTCCGAGCAGCCTTTCTTGTAAAGTAGTAAAGTTTCCCTATGTTTCTGAACTAGGGAGACGAGATGCTGCATCAGTGCCCAGTGACATTGCACTGAGCAAACTCGTTAAAATGCTGTTTAGCACATATAAGCCACATGTAAGTCAATTTTAGACATAAATTATGTTTTGTTTGGACGCGTATTTTAGTCTTTTTTAACATGATGACTATTAATTGATACACACATGATTTTTACAGGTACAAGCGCGCCTTGAGCAGACCTAACGACTACACCTTCTCCCGTCCGGTCCCCAGTCCGTTCGGCGGAGGCAACATGGTCACCATCAGCAGAGTTATCGCTAACAGTGGGTATGTATTGTATCCAGAACGCGTGGACAAGCATGATTCTGGATATTCCACGTGTATCCAGCACCGTGCTTGGAGCAAATCTACCACTGTGGCAATAAACCTGTATTTATGCTCCTGGAGAACCGGGCCTGATGCTAAGTTCGCTCTTTCTTAAGTCCGTTACCGATGCAAAATATGGCTAGGCTGATCTTAATAAGTTAATCCATTCAGGCATAGAACTGGATAGGCACGGGTCTGAATATTATATAACTAATAAATTAAACTATAAATTATAGTACATTGCCACAACTAACAGTGCATCGAATCAGCATATATTTGTCACCTAACAAAAGTCGGCCTCATTATTTTGTCACTTTACCAAGGACTGAGTCTCAACTAATTAAAACAAATGTCTTCCTTCCAGTACTCAGATTCTAGGCGTCATTGCAGCTGACATAATCGAAAGGCAATACTATTCCCTGTTGTACTCGGAGGTGAGAATGGCTTTTTACAAACCATCTTTATTTAATACATCTAATATTTTGTAAATGTGAACATCAGCCATCCTATTTGCGATAATCAGCTACTATTTTATTAATCGAATTAAGTAATAACAAAAACACATAAATAACTGCATTGCGCTTAACCGTTCATTCGGAGTTTTTAAAATCTGACAAAACTTTACAGATACCTGATTGTTTATCGGCGGAGTTTGACTGCTTTCTACTTGACGATAGTGGGTAAGTTTTGATTTCAAATACCAAGATTTCTAATTGCTGCTTTAAAGATATTATTTTTAATTGAAGATGGCAACGATACTTACTCCGAAATTTTGCATATTTCCGAATAAGGTTTGTAACCCCTTTACGTAATTCAATAATTGTCTTTTTACACACGCAATGAAAGGTACTTTATGGACCTGCCGACAGCACCTAGCACGGAGCACGATCACCTGACCAACAAGTTTCCTTGGCTGGCTAATGAACTGGTGTCTAGAGGAGGACTCCTGATGGTAAGATTTTAATTAACGCTAAAAGATTACCAAACGAAGTGAAAAACGCAGAATTGATAATCATAATCTCCATCAGGCAATCCTTTTTACTACATGATATTCTTCAACCATTCAATTACAATTATTTTAATGAATGGATAATTTAGACTGATGATTGAGATTTAGCCATTAATGAAATTTCTTGCATTCTACAGTCAGGATTGTGTAACAGCTACGTTACCCAGGATTCCCAGTTGTTCTACGACACTTCCGGATTCACCGGTCTTCACGTCACTACCGGCAGCGACCCGTGTACCCAGTTCTCCATGTACCCAATTACCAACACCAACACATTTTTGTTGGTTCTGCACAACCGCCAGACCAACAACTGCCAAGATAGCCAAACACAGGTTTGAAAAATAAGTTTTGTGCAGCCCACAGAAGTTTTGTGTACACACTGAAAGAAACATCTACGGGTTTATCTTGAATTGTTAAATCATTTTAAATCGATAATTGGATTGACTGCTTCAACCGTTAGAATTTTTTTGTCTCAAAGACAGTATCACATAGAATCCATTACGAAACTAATGTATGTTTTATTTTGTTATATGTTTATAGCTACATGGTAATCAATGCACACGCAAGGCAAACAGAGGAAACGATACCATGTTTGCTGGCTTTATACTTGGCGAAATTGCAAAAAAAAAAAACATTTGATTTCTTTTTTTTTCTAGGATTGTTCCTGTGATAAAGATTGCCAGTCGTGTGATGCAAGTGTTCAGTCTAGTTGTCAGGTAATGCGTGTTATTTGCTTATATGCAACAGCCATGGGTAATGGTTGTTATTCAGCAAAACCCATAAACCACAACTGGCCAATGGTATTACGTCCTTATAAACAAGATAAGAATGCCGACTCCTAATTGGCCAAGGCATTCTTTAACCACAGCATCCGCATTTCGTCATGTTATTCACTCTTAGCTACGTCATTTACCGATGTATTTACTATTTTAATAGTCCCACTATTCTCTCCCTGTTTGCAGTGTCCCTGTTCGTGTCCATGGGACCATGAGTCCTGCACAAACGGAATCCTGGGTGTCTTGACAGATATACCCTGTCCTCGTAAGTAGAACCATTATTTTGTCTTTAAAGTATTCTCCAAAGAAAGGCTTAGGGCAAGGCAGAAACTGTAATGATTTTTGAATGCACATTGCTTTCTTATGAAAGTCCGTCACATCATTTTTGACTATACCATATGCATTTAAGCTCCCCGTGAAGTCCAAAGCAGCCAAGGAGCAGGGCAGATAGGCGGATCACCCCCGTACCAACCTGACCCATCTGTACCTGAGTGCGAGGTGCCGTGCAGTGCACAGTAAGCGATGTCCATTAATGTCTGTACAGTTACATTAAATATGTCTATCCATCCATCGGATATGCTCATATATCGGCATGATAACGGCATAATATGTCAGCAATGCATTACATAAACTTTGACAGATTGCCCATAGTCCCTACTCGAAAATAGCTGACCTACAATATATAGCAGAAGGGATTGATGACATACTTGTAAGCTTCAATATCTGACGGTTTCATGAGGACATCTGTACATCACAGGCCTGACAAACCCACCTGTGAGGCTTTGCCCCACTGTGGCTGGTGTGAGGAGTTGGATTTCCCAGTCTGCAAAGAGACCTGCGCTCCGTAAGTTACTAAATTGAATATCTGACTTTAACTGCCAGCTGATATCTTTGCCTTCTAAAAATCAACAATCACTGTCGTTTAGTATTGCACAGTACCTATATTTTTTGTAAACATATTTATTCTTTGCATTAATCTCTGTAACAAGAACTACGCCACAACCAACGACGGAAGTTGCGACAACGACAACGGAAACTACACCGGAACCAACAACAGTTGCCACGACTACATCAGAAACAACAATGGAAACAACAACAGATGCCACAACGACAACAAAGACAACACTGGAGACAACGGCAGATGTCACAACGACAACAGAAACAACAACGGAAACAACAACAGATGCCACGACTACAATAGAAACAACACTGGAGACAACGACAGAGGAGATCATAACAACAACCGCCACTCCACAGATTGGTATTTTCCGAAACGCTTTATTTCATCCACTCAAAGCTCTATATATACGTACAAATTAAATATAAAGGATGTGATGGTGTAGTCAATTTACATATAGATAAAACGCTTACAAGAGAGTTTTCTAAAATTCTGACTGTCCACAATTGTGTTTTAGGACTTTGGGCAAGTACATGTTTGCGGAGCTGTTTACTATGCCAATATCTGAAATGAAATAATTACTGTAATCTGTAATAATGTAATCTAAACTTATGTCTTGTTTTTCTCCAACGCCAGGACCCCCCGCAGACTGCACGGCCGTTCCTGCCGGCATGTACCCAGACCCGTATGACTGTACCAAGTTCTACCAGTGCACGGGGGTCCCAAGTAACCCGCTACCATTACACATGCCCTGCGCCCCGGGAACGCTCTTTGATTGGACCCTCTCTGTCTGCACGTTGACATCGCATTGTACAACCAGTAGGTGTATAGGAAATTGTATTCTACATCTTCAATTTCGTACTTCCTCCCGTACTCATTTCGTTGAGCATGTACCGATTCCATTGACGTGTCAGTGTTTATGTACAGAGAGAGATAGAGATAGAAAAATAGGAAGCTAAAGATAGAAATAGAGAAATAGACAGATTGACAGAACAGAAAGAATGATCCCACGGCTACGTCTTCATTAATTAAGGAATTTAAGCATATCCAAAGTAGCTTGAATTGTATTTTGTATTTCCCACAGCTGTTGTGGCTTATATAACTCTTCCACCAACAGTTGCCTACCCCACAACACAACCATCAACGGTCAGCCACATAAATCTTCAAACAACTGATGCCACAACGACCATTTCCCCAACCTCTCCGGGCCCCGTAGCGACATCACCATCTGCGGTCTCCATAACTACTTCTCCATCAGCGGGGTCCTTAGCCACATCACCATTTGTCGGCTCCGTGACAACTTCATCATCTGTGGGCTCCGTGACTACTTCAGCATCTGCGGGCCCCGTAACTACACCAACATCTGCGGCCTCAGTAACTACACCAGCATCTGCAAGCCCCGTAACTACACCAACATCTGCAAGCCCCGTAACTACACCAACATCTGCAAGCCCCGTAACCACACCAACATCTGCAAACCCCGTAACTACACCAACATCGGGGTCCGTGACTACTTCAGCATCTGCAGGCTCTGTGGCTACTTCAGCATCTGCGGGCCCCGTAACCACTCCAGCATCTGCAGGCTCCGTAGCCACTTCGCCATCTGCGGGCTCCGTAGCCACTTCGCCATCTGCGGGCTCCGTAGCCACTTCACCATCCGCGGGCTCCGTAGCCACTTCTCCATCTGCGGGCTCCGTAGCCACTTCAGCATCTGCGGGCTCCGTAGCCACTTCGCCATCCGCGGGCTCCGTAGCCACTTCGCTATCTGCGGGCTCCGTAGCCACTTCGCCATCTGCAGGCTCCGTAGCCACTTCGCCATCCGCGGGCTCCGTAACCACATTGACATCCGCGGGCTCCATGGCCACATTAACACTTGCCGGCCCAGGAACTCCTTCAACAGCTTCGGGCTCCGGAACTGCTCCAACAGCTGCGGGCACCGTAATAGACATGTCGGCGTTCTTCCCTTGCATGTTCATTCCTACCGACGTTACACCCCAGATGCAGCAGGAAGTGGCGGACAGTTTCTTGGCTTCTCTTCGCGCCGCTCTCCAAAACAGGGGCATCTCGGTACCCCAGCAAGCCATTCAAGTCGTGCAAGTTGGAAGAGTAAGTTTCGTCTTGCATTAGTCATTCAATTGTATGTAATTGTGTTTGGTATTTGGCCGCACGCCTCTGTGTTTGTGTGTGTGTGTGTGTGTGTGTGTGCGCGCGCGCGCGCGCGTGTTTGTGTGATTGCCACTTAATTCTCAGATACAAAGTCTAAGTACATCTAATTCATTTGTTTTCGTAACCCATTGAGACAAATTTAATGCGTCAGAAATCTAATATCAGGGAGAATCCTTTTCTCACCCGTGTGTCATACAACCTGGTCCATCCTTGATACTCAATACCACATGTAATCGCCATATTCAATCTTCCCTTGAACACAGGACACCATTGACTTCACGATACAAGACACAACAGGTAACCAGGACCTTACTGCCTTACAAAACACCATTCATGATATCCTCTCGTGGGACGAACAATTCACCATAGGCCATAACCTGGATGGAGAACACGTCGAGTACAGAGCGGCAAATCCTGAAGACGAGGTCAACAACACGTGAGTACATCTGTACCTATATATTGCTGTAACGTTAACCGCTGTAGTTCCACTATAGCCTTGTTGTAAGTCCCGTTGTAATTTTGCTGTAGGCATGTTACAGCTATAGCTTGCTGTTGATACACTTTAGTGATTATACGCCAAAAAGCAGTTACTCAAGCAACTGGATATGATTTTGAAAACGTTAGACGCTTCATCTAGTATCCACTAGCTTTCATCAGTGACTGAGAGACCAGAGGGGAAATGCAGGTTTATAAGCACGAACTATTGATCGATAGGCAAATCATATCCAGTTGCTTGAGTAACTGCTTTTTGGCGTATCGTATTACCTGGATGTCTAACCTTCATCGACGTTTAGTGATTATAATTAGTACAAAAAATTATCTGTATTTTATCATTTCTTTGCATTATAATTATATATTAAAATGAAATAACTCACGACTTTCTTAAAGGGTAAAGTTTGAGATCAGCTTGGGAGAAATGAACGGGAATGATGTCAATCTCGACGACGTTCTGGAGTCGGATTTCACTATTCGTGACATGTTGGAGCAGGACATCATCAACTTTGTTACCACTACGCTCGGGCCTTCGTCTGTCGCCACTTTGAACTTGGACAACATATGGATAGAAAATGTACGTAATAGGCTTTGATATATTAAATTTGCGGAATATTTACTATGATCACATTCACGAGATTCTGCTTTTGATGTTATGCAGATTTTGAAACGACACGCGAAATACATGATGGTATTCGTGCCTCATGTGTTCTACGAAATAACGGGTAGAGCATTTTTGTTGAAGATTGAAAATTGAAACTAAAGTAACTCGGGGCAAGTTACGTTTGAGCCTCTATCTCTTATGGATGGTCTCGTGGTGCTTCAGATTGCCGCAGGTCATCCATACCTAACGATTGTTTTATTTTCATTTTGTGAACAGAACCACTGTACCTTCAGCATCAGCGTCCCTCTAGACCAACTGCATGCAATGGAAGCAGAAGCAAGGAAGCTCGTGGACAACATAGGAAACTTCCTCATCCATGCCGGTAGTCTTCAGGTGACTGAAGTGGATTTCATGACCACCGAGACATGCGACTTCTGCCCTCCTATCTGTGAACCGAGGTGAGGGGTTCTATGAAAATACTAAAGAGGTCTTAACATTTAGATCATCTTTCCTAATGTTATTTCAGAGACTCTTCGGCAGCTGCAGAAATTAACAACTTGTGAACTAATCCGTTTATCCAATTCAATGTTGTACGTTAAGACTTTCTGTTACTCACCCATTGTCTTCACATTCCTACATGATCATGTCGTTTAGGTATTAGTAATTCAGAAATGATGATTCCGGTTCCATTTTTTTGTATTGAAGAGATGCAGAAGCGTGCTATCTGCATACCTCGTGCCAATGGTGTGTGTTTGACGGTGAGCCTCAGTGCGGAGATGACTGCTTGCTGCAAGAAACGTAGGTTCGCTTTACAGATGATTCAGCTGAAAAACTTATACGGGGTTGAATGTTTTGCGACCGTTTGTTCATTAAGTTGGTGCACGTACCTATATGTTCTGGTGCTGACAGTTCCCCCGTATGCTAATGAGTAAAATATCTGTCTCAACGACGTTTACGGGGGACGCAATGTGCTAAAAATCATCATAAGACTAGGAGTGTCTTCTAAACCATGTATAGAACCAAACCTCACGTAAAAGAATGGAAGCAGGACACCTGTATGAAATCAGCAACGTTCAACTTGTATTCTCTTCTATGTTAGGGAATATGAGTTGAGTGCATTTTGCCCCTGTCTTCCTGAGCATCCGGGTTCCCAACAGCAACTACAAGACAGTTTTCGTGTCCAAGGACTTCAGCTTCTGCGAGACAGGTTTGGTGGATGGGACTCGGATAAAACAATCAACAATATCACCATCGCAGGCGTAAGTGTTTGTATATGAATGAATGAATGAATGAATGAATGAATGAATGAATGAATGAATGAATGAATGAATGTTTATTATTTTGCCATTGCGATCAATATGCCGCCAAGCCCATATGGGCTTATTAGGCACCGACAAATACAAAATCAAAACAACTCAAAAGGTACAGAGAATCAGATGTAACATAAATTATAGCTTAACATAATATATAATAAATACAGGAAATTAAGTAGTACTGGTCATATACAGAAATCAAATCAAATGTAACATAGATGTATATGTTGTACGCTTCCAACAAGTTTTAAACGCTTCCAACAGGTTTAAGATTGTTCTGAAATACGTCATTCCTCGAGCTGATACTTCACATTAAGTTAAGTTAAAGAGCCTTCCCGCGTCAAGTGACGCATAGGGCGGCGCCCATCTCCGTTCATTAGCACTGGGCCACACACAGCAGTCACTACAGCAGGGGGCTAGTCCACTGGTAGTGGTGTGTGTTTAACTCCCATACTCTTCTCCAAATGCTGAGTGCTGAGCAGAGAAAGCAGTATGTACCATTTCTAAAATCTTTGGTATGACTCGGCCGGGGATCGAACTCACGACATACAGAATGCAAGGCGAGCACTTTACCCACTTGGCCATTGCACCGGTTATACTTCACATGTCGGGGGTTTATTTGAAGAGATTTATATTCCTGTTGCAGCCAAACATCACTTTCTCAATACGAAGCAGCATGCAACAGAAGATCACACCTGGCATCATCAGCTTTCTCAGCAACAGTTCCACGTGGGATGGCATTATCATTAGCGATGGCGTCAACCAATACCAGCTTATGGAGCCGCTCGACTATACCGAGTGAGTACTATTTGCTTTGTTGACATACGTCCTTGCCACTCTCTGGAAGTTTGCCACTCTCTGGAAGTACATACCTCATAAACACAATATCTTAAATGGAGAGTTTTTAAAGTTGCTTTTTGTTTGGTATCGTCGCCTAAAGTGTAAAGACAAACAAGCGAATGTCATCAGGCAATTCAATATTATGCTCTAAAATGCTGGTAGTTTTGTCTTTTGTAAGTTACTTTTCTGTTTGCTATTCCTGCAGCATGGATGTAACAGTGCATTTCAACAACGTGGACTTTACCAACCTGGTTACCCAACACTCAGTCGCAGTGGATCGGCTGCTTCCTGCCCTCAAAACCGTGCTGACGAGTATAGGTGTCTCCCATTCTTGCGTGGCTTCAACAAAGCTGTCACAGAGAGGACAGGTATGTTTATATGCATTAGTCAAACGATCCACTCTGTGCACTAAATCAAAGCAAAACATTGTTGTTTTTATTGACCTTGAAATAAACGCGAGTTTTTTTTATTTTTATTTTTATTCACAGAACTTCCTCCAATTCACCATGTCAAGAGAACGGGACAGCTCAGGCTCAGTTAACTTGACTGAAGAAGCAAACAGGATTAAGAATGCCGTCAGCAGGGGAGAATTCATCTTAAACCTTAAGCCTGTGAGTATAACATTATATGGCATCTATAAAATGTTATCACATATCAGTACTTTGAATATATATATTATCGGATTCCACTGTGAGTAAAAACGGGAAAATAAGTATGGTTTGCATTTTCTTCAATCTATTGTTTTAGAGTAGTTTTAGCTTTTTTTTTTACTACAAACATGTATATAGATTGTCATCTGCTCACCTGTACGTAGCCCGATCATCATTGTACAATAAAGGTTATTTATTAATTATATTGTTCACATTCTATTAAAACCCTTTCATGTACTATACAGTTTTGAAATACGTTATCGTGTGTTTACAATAATGATTGTTGAAACAAACTATCAACATGGTTTAGTACACACTACAAGGAATTATATATCAATACATGTGACTCTTGCAGGGATGGCCAATAGGTACAAGTGTCAGCTTCGAGGGGAATTTTGACAGCATCTGCCCACAAGTGAACCCGTGGAGCCCGAGTGGATCGTATCCACCTGGCATGTGTGCCTGTCCAACAGAAGGCAGCATTTCCCTTGTGGTAAGCTGAGGACATGTCATTTCTGTAGTTTCAATGAATGCATGATGAATGAAGACCTTTATTGTACACACATACCCACAGGGTTAAGTACAGGTCACAGTAAAAGGATGGTATATAGATAATGTTACATATATACATCGTCAAGTAACTATAATTAAGTAAATTAAATAAATTAGGTTTAAATTCTGCTACCAGCCAGATGAGACATGAATACTATGGTTTAACAGTAAAAAGTTATCAAACTAGTAACGTACCTGCCCTCCATTTTAGTACCAGGACCCGGCTGGCAACGGAGGACTCT